TTGGTAAATTGTGCATTTTTTGCTTTAAAGGGGATTGAATTATGTTGTTCTTATGTTCCAGTTAAGGTTTTTATTCCTTTAGTTAATCTGCATGCAATAGTTATGGAGTTATCTGCAATTTAAAAGTGCTGCTGGTAAGTCTGATAAGTCTGCTATTTATTTATACATTCATGTACAAAACTTAAGCAATAATGTAAATTTTAATCAGATAGACATGAAATTGCAGAAAAGGGGTTCTTGTGATGAGTACAATGAACACACAATTCAGTAGAAAGGTCAGGCGTATGCAAATTTCAGGAACAAAACCTCACAGGCAACATGAGCATATGTCGTGTGTGGTCTCCAAAACGTGTGTACTCTGCATACTCAGCTCAGACTACAGTTAAGGGAGAATGGAGATGCGATTAAAGACACTCACTGCGAGTGCAAGTAAGTTCTTTCGTGAAATATGGCTAGACGAAATCACTTGGATGCCTTCACATGTGGAAGAATGATTGGAAGGTTGGAGGAGGGGCATAGCGTGACCAGTCTAGAAGCTTCGGCGCATGCGCAGAAAGTTTTTAGCTTTGAGGTCCGGATTATGGGTGTCCGAATTAACGACTTTTGACTGTATCATGGATGGAGACCATTACAGTGGTCCTGGAGTTTCCATCTGGGGGGGGCACCTAGCTGAATGGAAGGACAGAGGTTTTGTAACCGGAGATCGCTATTGTCAGGAGATGATCCGTTCTGAGGTACCACTGGAGCAGACTTCATTTGTACGGATGACAATGCACGGCCACACTGGACTCCTGCTGTTCGGAGCTTCTGGAAAGTGAAAATATGATTTAAATATAGGGTTGGAGGGAAAGTTCTGTCGTATTTTAAAGAAAATATTTGAATTCATTTATAAAAATATGTGTTTAATATTAATCAATTATATATGCTCCATTATTTGTTACAACCTGTTGCCATCTTCCAGGTAACCTGTAAATTCCTGTTTTGTAGAAGTTCTCATCCATGGAGTTAAAATAGTCAGCAACTGCCTTAGAAACACTTTCAAAAGACTTGAATTTTTTTCCCGTTAGATAATTTTGCAGAGATCTGAACAGGTAATAATCAGAGGGTGCAATGTAAGGTGAATACGGGGGGTGACTAAGGATTTCCATCCTAACGCATTCAGTTTTGTAGTGTTCACCACTGCAGTATGCGGGCGAGCGTTATCGTGATGGAACACTATTCCTTTCTGGATGCTAATGCTGGCCTTTTTCTTTGATAGCTGTATTCAATTTATCCAGCTGATGGCAGTACAGATCCGCGTGATGTTTTTTCCCTGTTCAGCAACTCGTAATACACTGGACCTTTCCTGTCCACCACAAACAAAGCAGTAGTACTTTTTGTTGATGGATACTTGGTTTTGGAACTGTTGCTGATGATGTTCCTGGTTTGCAGTAAGATTTTTTTCTTTTAATTCTCGTAAAGAATCCACTTTTCATCTCCAGTAACCAGCCTGTCCAAAAACGGCTCCACATGTGTCTAATCAGATGTGATGAACATATTCTACATGATCAGACAAATTCGTTTCCGTTAATTCATGTGGAACCCAAACACTTTGCTTTAACACAAACCCAAGAGATTTAATGTGATCTCCAACAGTTGTATGATGAATGCCAAACTCTTCTGCAATTTCTCGACTTGTTAAATGTGGATTATTTTCCAACATGGATCGCAAAAACATCATTATTGATCTTAGATGGTCGTCCAGATCGAACACTTTCTTTGAGGCTCAGGTCCCCGGAACGAAATTTGCTAAACCATCTTTGACAAGTACGAACATTTACAATATCTTTTCCAAATACCGCACATAAATTTTTACATGCAATAGATGCGTTGCTTCCTTTTTGGAATTCATATAAAATGCAGTGTCGTAAATGCACTTTATCTACCAACATGTTTTTCCCTTTAAATATTACAAGTAAATGATGAACGGTAAAAAAGGGCACCTTTTATATTATACAGCAGCTAAAAAAAACAAAAAAATATCCGATTGACTCACTAGCCAGATTTTTTTTTTTATTTACAAGAAAAATCACCTGCCTATTTAAAATAGGACAGAACTTTCCCTCCAACCCGATAAAAAGCTACTGGAATATATAAAATATGACTTGAATGAAAAGCTACTGGAAAGTGAAAATATTACTTGAATGGATTGGCCAGCGTACTCCCCTCATTTAAATGCCATAGAACATGTGAGGGATGCTTTGGGAAGACACCTTGTAGCACGATTACATCCTCCGGAAAATAACCAACAAATGAAACAGATGCTGATTGAGGAATAGACACTCTTACCTCAAGATCTGTTGGGCGATCTGGTGCTGAGTATGGAGAGACAGTGTGAAGCAACATTGCAGTAAGGAGAGGGGATATCCCATACTAAGGAACATCTGCTTGTTGTTTCTTCCTCTTGTACAGACAATCATGTGTAACGATGCTATGAATTCAATAAAGCCTTTTTTTTGTTTGATTCCATATTGTATGCATTGTATTCATTTTTGCGCAACTATGCTTTTGTCATCGTTTAAATACAAAATACTGTCTCTCACTTCAGAATTTCATGTCTCTCAGATGATTTCTCGTGGAGTTATGGCAGAAAGAACACTCATTGCTCAAGTTTTGCACACCAGTGTATTTGAAACTCTTAATAAATTAACTCTATTTTGTGTTTTAGGTTTTTCTTTATTTTACAATTTTGAATGAATATATTAGTTTTTATGTATTTTTGCTTTGCTGCAAAATTAGAATTGAATTAATTGAATTAAAAGTATGTCTCTGATGAAGGTCAAGGAAATAAGTTTAACGGAAGTACAGCACAAAATGTGTATAATTTAATAGGCTGTAATGCAATTGTTTGTTGTTCAAAAATGGGTCAATCCATTTTACATTAATTCATGTGAAGAAAATTCAGATGATGAATAACCTTCAGGAAGGAATTAAATTCATATTTGAGTGTATATTAAAACTATTTTATTTTCTGAAAAACCTGAATGAAAGGGTTTTTTTCTTTTATTTTCTTACTCATATATTTTTAAGTATCTTTTATTTGGAACATTTCGAAATTTTTCAAAATCATGGTGACAAATAATTGAATCTTGATGGTTGGTCAAATTTAAACAAGATAATGGATGTTGCTAATCACAAAACCAGGAGAACAAAAAAGGCTCTGCATGCATATACGTTAGTATAAATTTCAAAAGTATATTTTTTCATTTTGTTATGATAGATTAAATTATATTCTATAATTTGCCTTCAAAATATTCAAATTAATATCAATGTTCTGTATAAAATTCAGTTTACACATTTTTCTGAAATTTTTTTCAGTGTCTTTTGATCATGTCTGAAGTTAGCTGATATGCTGATTTAAATTCCACATGAATTTAAAGTTATCTTTTTAATTAACATATGTATTTTTTTCTTATGATTTAGCAAGAAAATATAAAGATTCTTGTGGAGGCATTCATCTATTTTGTATCCAGGTTTCATACAATCCTTAAAAGTCCTTCGTTTTTTTTTTTTTTTTTTTTTTTTCAAACTAATTTTTTATAGTTAATATCCTTTATTTCGATCCTCAGAAGGTCCTTAATTTTAATCATTTGAAATTTCTGTCTGTTTTTATGACTGCCATTTTGAGCATGAATTAGCATTTTGGAGGAATAGTTTGGGCAGTTCACTGACGAATCTTTTGAATGTGTTTATGTGTTATAATTTGTTTCTATTTCTAATATAAATGGTGGATACTCGCATTTCTGAGCAAGAAATGGAACATAAGCATTGAATTGAATCCAATAGGTACATTGAATTGACATAATTTGACATTTGAATCCAATAGGTACAGGTTACAAAATCGTAGCTAAATGAATTCAATCACAATCGACGAAATGAAGGTATTTTGGAGGATCTGTATGTACATGTCAGTTGTAGATTTACCATTTAGTAGGTGGTAATGGTCACTGCAAACAACGCAGGAATTTATTTCAAATGCAATGACCATTAATCATGAAGAGATTTGTATGCATGCTGTCCGCTGTAGCGAACATACTGTAGCAATTATTTAAAACGAAACTTAATAATTTTCTTTTTTTATTATTATTATTAAGGTTATTTTAAGTAGGGAAAAAAAACGTTTTCGTTTAACTTCTCTAGATTATTTGTATGCAACAAAGGGTTAAAATTAATTTCATTTATCTAACAGTATGAAAAAGTAGATAAATACCAGATTTCTCTTAAAAATTCACTTTGTGCCCCTTCCAAAAAAAAAAGTCTCATTTTTATTATTCTCATAGAGCTGGGATATGAGATCTTACAGTGCAATAGGAAATTTCTTAAAAACATGCTGCTCTTTAGAAGGCTTAAATTGTGCATTTATTCTGAAATTTTTATCCTTAACTGCAACTTGACTGCACCTTAATACTTTGACTATGGTTATAAAAGCCATAAAAATGAAGAATTTGATTTAAAGGAAATCATAAATAAAAATATCAATTGGGAATGGAATCAAATTGATGGAGGAATAATGATTGCTTATTAAGGTACCTGAAAATCTAAGTGTTGACAGGATAAGAACATCTCACATTTATATTCGAGATAAATGGCAAATGCACTATTCACAGGTCCTGCAGTCAAACGGTTAATTACAGTTTCTGAGCACTTTCGTAATTCAAGGTAAGTGCTTTCTTATTTATATGATTAAAAATAAAACTGATTAAAGTGCTTCAAAAAGTGTAACAGAGAAGAAAAAGAATGTTATAAAGAAAGCATGGTTCAAGGAAAAAGGTACATTTAAATGCATAATAGATTAATAAATTCCAAAAACATTTCCCTCTAATCTAAATTGATAAATTCTTGTGAAAAATTGACACTGGAATTGACAGCCATTTTTTTTCTATGATTCATAAATCTGTTATTTAGTCAAATATTGATTATCTAATGCATTTTACTATACTTAAGTTATTTGTTCTTTTCAGTTGATGGTGATTTATTAATCATAAGTTTGAATCTTGTGAAAAGTAAAGTCTGTTACATGAATGAAGTTTCAAAACACTGTTTCCTGGATACAATTTTACCTACTTTAATTCAACATGACCATGAAAAGAAAATTCTGTCAGCTATTATAAGCATTATTGAAATTTGGGTGAAAAATACTATTGATTTTGATGACTATGAAGTTCCATCCCTGCAAGAAAGTTCTGACCTGCTTCAGAAGATCATGCAAAGAATTGAATATCAATTTCCAGATGATTTCGATCTTAATCTTCAGTTTTTTGAACTAGTTGCTTATATTTACAGGTAAATTTTACTTTTATTACATTTTTTACATAAAGCAGTAATTTGTCTCTTGCGCTATTTTATTAATTAGTAACCAACAATATAAAAATCTTTTAAAAATAATCTTATGTCAAGACAGAAGGTGAATTTAATTTAACATGATTATTAATGATTTGATGATTTAAGTGAGATGTAGAAATGAAATTTAATTTTCTATTATCCATCATATGAATTTTCCTTGTTAAAAATTAGGATTTCTATTAAAATATTTTTATTAATGGTTAGGCATTTTGAAGTAATTTTCGGCATTTACTTAAAAATGCACAAAAGTTTACTTCCAGTGTTTGGGATCTGATTAATGGCTAGACACCCAATTTAGAAAAATAAATTCTTTAACTAATCAAAATACATACATGGCAATAAATAACAGGAATCTCAGCGATGAGTAAAACGTGTATATGAACTTGTAAAAACAGAAGGCGAAAGTTCTCTTTTGCAGTCGCTCAGAGATGATATTCTTATGAAAAAAGAAAATCCGCTAAAAGTCGAAAAAAAAAAGAGGTAAAAAATTAGTCTTCCACAAATTGTTTGGGGAAGTGGACACGACGCCCTGAACGAGTTTGATAATTTGCTTTTGCAGGAGCACTTTTTTCAAGTGTCTGTTTATTTACTGGATAGGTTGGTTGCTGCGATGAGGCCTTATCCACATCAGTCAAACTAGGAGGTTCAGATACATCATCTGGGACCAAATAAGCAGGTTTTACTCTGTCGATAGACACAGTGATATCATGTCCTTCTTTAGATATGGAAGTTTTATCCCCACATCGAAGTACTTTGTATGGACCCATGTAAGGTGTAATGCAAGGAGGGTTTTACCATGTCTACATGTAGCAAAAAAACATGAGAACATTTATCTGTCTATACACAAAGATCTGTTTTTTAGAATGATTGGTAGTAGCAGTCAGGCGAAGATGTTCTAGATTATCATTCGCACAATTTTAGACGATTTTAGGAAGTCACTCCTCAGAATGTTGCTGTCAAGAGGCATAAAGAATTGCCCCGAAAGATGCAAAGTTTGGCCATACAGCAGTTCGGCTGGAGAGCAGTTAAGTTCCTCTTTGAAAGCAGTCCGAAGTCCCAAAAGAACTGAAGGCAATGCGATAGTCCAGTGTACGGATGTGTGACACATGATGGATTGTTTGAGGGATCGTTGCCACCTTTCAATGATGCTGTTGGCTTGTAGGTGATACGCGGTGGTGTGAGAAAGGCAAATACCAAAGTTCTTGGCTAGTTCTCGAAAGAGTTCAATGCGAAATTGACTACGACGATCAGTGGTTATCTGAGCAGGCACACCGAATCTTGAGATCCAGCCAGCATAATGAGCAGTGGCGACGGTCTCTGCCTGTGTATCTTTCAATGGATATGCTTCAGACCAGCGAGTATACCTGTCAATGCATGTCAGACAGTAAGACATTCCTTGAGATGATGGAAGAAGTCCAATCAAATCTATATTGATATGAGAAAAACGTTCATCTGGAACTATAAAAGTAGTTAAAGGAGAGTGTACATGACGAGACACTTTAGCCTTTTGACATTGTAAGCAAGTTTTAGCGAAGTTCATGACATCCTTTTTCATTCCGCACCAGACAAATCGGTCACTAATTAACTTCAGCATTGCTTTAGGTCCAGGATAGGAAAGATTATGCAGAGCAGAAAAAACAAGTTTTCTATAACTGCTTGAACAAAAGGGTGGACTTTACCATGTGAAATGTCACAATACAGTTCAATAGAACTCTCAGGCATTTTTAACTTCTTTAATTGCAGAACTGGATTTTCTTTGCCTAAAAAAGATTGGAGTACAGTGTCACTCTGTTGTGCTTTCGGCATAGATTCATAGTTAATAGGAATGACATTAGCAACTATTTCGATGCAAGAAAGTGCATCAGCCAGCTGGTCCATTTTCTGCACCACTCACATGTTGAATATCAGTAGTGAACTGGCCGATGAAATTAAGTTGATTAATTTGTCGAGGTGACTTTGAGAGCTTGTCATACTTTTGAGAAAATGCTTTTGTGAGTGGCTTATGATCTGTAATACCTTCAAGTAGATATCTGAAGTATTTGATAGCGGCAAATACTGCCAACAGCACTTGGTCGCACATACTGTACTTTTGCTCCATATCACTGTATTTTCTGGAGAAAAATCCCAATGGTTCCCATGTTTGAGCATTGAGTTGTTGGACGCAAACGCCTGTGCCTTTGTCTGATGCGTCGCACATGAGAGCAATTTTCTTTTTTCTGTCTGGGGGAACTAAGTTTGTAACCTGTGTCAGAAGCTGTTTACATGACTCAAAGGCTGTTTTAGTGTCTATTGACCAATGGAAAGGTGTTTTGTCATTTTTCTTACAACGTCCAAGCATACCATTTAAAGGAAGTTCGAAGAAGGCGAAAGTTCTTTTTTGCAGTCGAGCAGAGATGATATTCCTATCGCGCATGCGCGAAGAGGAGAACATGAAGCGCCGAAGAAATGTGGGGGTGAAGGTAGCCAAGTGTAAGTTTTACATGAAGTATTAGTTATCTCTCAAGTTGTGTTAATTAGAATACTCAGTAATGTAAAGTTACTTAAATCTATTAGACATTTTGTTAAGGTACAAGAACTGATGATTAAAATTATACATAAAGGTGATTTAAGTTAATTTTCTGTAATCCATCGTGGGAATTTTTTGCCCATTAATTTATTTATTTTTGTTTTGTTTTATTCTTAAGATACTGCAAGATGCTTTTGCATTAAATTAAAAACTTTTTAATTAATTAATTGAGTACTTTATGCTTATCCACTTCCCCATCAAAAAGCCACAAAAAGTGCCGGTGAGGCAATGCACTATGTCAGCAAAAATGTTTGCATAACAACTCACAATTCACCAGAAAGTATTATGTGGCAACCTAGGTATCTGTGTTGTGTTACCCTAAGTGACTTTCCACTTTCCCATATATTTTTGCCAATGTGACTGCGGATTATGATCATTCAAACAGGAATTTCAGAAATTTAGGATGGCATTGGACCGCATGAGTTTTCGTCATCTTCAACAAATTCTCAGGCTTAGCTTCCTATGTATGAGGGCTATTTTTTTTTTCAACCTCCGTTGGGCTATAAAGAAAAGACGGATAAATATACAAAAAAGATTTTATTACCAAAAGTAATGTACAATACAGGTTATTTCTCTACATAATCACCTTGACGATTGAGGCATTTGTCATATCTGTGAACAAGCTTTGCAATACCCTTTTCATAAAATGTCCCCGCCAATGATTGGAAGTGAGTTGTGACGTTTTCTTTCAGCTCCACGTCATTTTGGAAGCGCTTCCCGCCAAGCCACTGCTTCAGTCCAAGGAACAGATGAAAGTCGCTCGGCGCTAGGTCAGACTATATCGTGGATTTTCAAAAATGTCCCATTGAAATTGCTGAAGGAGCCATTGGGTTACACGAGCGCTGTGAGGACGGGCATTGTCGTGGATCAGAACAATTCCAGAAGTCAGCATGCCTCTTCATTTGTTTTGAATAGCTCTCCGTAAGCATCGTAAAGTTTCACAATATGAATTTTCATTAATTGTTGCTCCAGGCTGCATAAACTTCACAAGCAACACACCTTTTTGGTCCCAAAAACAGTTGCCATAACCGGTTTACGGTTGTTAAAGGTTCATTTGAATTTTGTGGGTCTCTTTGGAGAATTTGTGCGCATCCATAGTTGTGATTGTCGTTTCGTTTCGGGCGTGTCATATTGAACCCATGTCTCATCACCTGTCACAATGGATTTCAAAAACTCTTCTCCATCAGTATTGTAACAGTCAAGAAACTCAAGCGCTGCAACCATTCGGCGAGTTTTGTGGTCGTCAGATAACATCTGTGAGACCCAGCGAGCGCAAAATTTTCTGTAGTGCAACTGTTCAGTAACGATAGAGTACAGGGAAGATCTTGAAACTTCCGGAAATTCCGTCGATAATTCACTTATGGTGAACCTTCGATTTTGCTTAACCGCTTGGTCAACGCGTTGAACAATGTCGTCTATAGTGACAGACTTGTGTCCTTGACCCCCCTTCATAATGCACGTCAGTTCGGCCATCTTTAAACTTTCGACACCAGTCACAAGCAACGCCATCACTCATAAAGCTGTTTCCATACACTCGACTCATTCTTCGATGAATTTCCGCTGCACTGTTCCCTTCTGCTTGCAAGAAACAAATAACAGCTCGCAGTTTACACTTGGTGGGAGAATCAATAGCAACAGCCATGTTTACGTGACTGCAACTCAACAGAAAATGGCATGTTGAATACGCCAGTGACAGAGCGTGTGGAGGGGGAGATGCGCAGTCACCTACTACGCACACCAACCACCTGCTGCATACCTGGCCATCATACTGTGCAATTGGAGGTTGAAAAAAAAAAACAACCTACGTACATAGAACCTAATATGGCTTGTTTAAGGGCAACATGTATGTTTCATTTTAGGATGTTCGTACCAAGGTTGTGCATGATACCAATTTTGTGCAATCCCTCTTTTTTTTTTTTTTTTAAGTAAAAACAGATCACTGTACACATGGGGAGAAGACCAGTACAAAAAACTGAGAAATTTGTGTGTCTTATATGGGAAAAAAAGAATGTTAAAAAAAAAGTGCCAATATATGGATCATTGAAATAGACAAAAAGATACCTAAATGAATGTTTCTCTCCAAAGTCACCAGAAAGTTCGTGACTTTTTTATGGGTATGTGGATAATCAGCAGTTTTGCTTTCAAAAAAATCAAAATGATCATATTGTTTTCATAAGCAGAAGTTCTAAAAGTGTGTATAGCTATAGTTAATTTTATCCTTTATTCTTGCATGAAAGCTTTGATGTGATGTACTGCTCTTAATTGGTACTTAGCACTAAGGTGCTTGGTTTTGATATAAGGTTTATTTTAATCATTAGCATGTTTGCTTATCTTTTTTAGTGAAGAAATTCTTCAGGAAACCTTTATTATTGCATATCTAGAGCCTGCTTTCATGGCTGGACTACGATGCACACATCCTTATATCCGTAAAATTTTCTGTGCCTTAATTGATGAAAACGTCTACCCTCAGCTTCGTGAACGTCTAATTTACATTCTGACGAATGTAAACTGGGAAAATATGGGTCCTCACTTCTGGATTAAACAATGTATTGAAATGATAGTAGTAGCTGCACAAGAAACATACATCCAAAGTGCAACACATAAATATCTCCTGCCATCAGTTACTTCCATCATTGAGTTCTCTAATGCAAAGGAAAAGGAATCGCATTTAGAGGAAAAGGTAATGCATTTAAAAATGAAAAAGTTGAATTTATTGGGTGAGAGAGATGAAGCAAGAAACTGCTTTCCCATAAAAGTAAGCTATAATTTCAGGTATATAGTAATATCCCAAGTTATTTGCTAATTTATCCTAAGACTGTTTTATTATTATGTTTTCTTGCATCTGAAAAAATTGCTTGCACGTCTAAAATAATAATACATAAATAAAGTGCCTAAATTATTTAGTAATTAATTTTTACTTTAAAATGATCCTTGTCTAAAAAATATCTACTACAGTCAAAAGTCGTTAATTCGGATGCCCATAATCCGGAATGATCTATAATCCGGACCTCAAAGCTAAAAACTTTCTGCGCATGCGCCGCGTTGACACATGCGCATAGGGGTTTACGCGTGCGCGTAAGACCTTTACGACTGTGCGTGTGCGCAAGTGCAGATTACGTTTTCGAGTGTGCGTTTTATGTATAACGGACGGTGTAAGCTAAAATTATCTAATTATCTATTTCAGTTAATGTTGATTATTGCGTTGTTCCTTAATCTTTGAAATGGATCCGGTTTATTATTTTTTGCAGACTGTAAGAGCAATTTTATAAAAGTAAACTTGAACTTTCGATTATGTCAAATAGAATTTCCGATGCTGGAGCTCCCAAAGGATCTACAAAACGAAAGTATGTTTTGATGTCCATCAAACAAAAAGTGGAATTGCTGCAAAAAATGGATAAAGACATGAAAAAGGTGACAGAGAGGTTAGTGAAAACGAAAAAATTTCGATTGACGAGTTAGTCGGTATTCTCGGCACAGCAATTACGGGACTTGAACAGCGTAACTTTATAACTGAACAAGAAATTATGTCTGTTTATAGAATTTAAGAGAAAGTATTATCATATAAAACGAAGCAACTTAAATTGAAAGAAATATTTAATAAAGTAAACAAATAAATATTAAGCTTTTTTTTTTTTTTTTTTTTTTTTTTTTTTTTTTTGTAAATTTTGATACCCTTTAGATCATAATTGTTCTTTATTTCATAAATTACGGTTTCATATTTTTAATTTTAGAATTTCTGCATGCCATATTACGAGATTTAAACTGATGATCTATAATACGGAAAAATCGTTAAACCGGAATCGCCAAAGTCCCGACGAGTCCGGATTAACGACTTTTGATTGTATAGTTTGCTTGATAGCCTTTCATTTATTTTGAAATTCCCATATATTTTAATGCAGACATTTAAGACGTGCTTATATTTTTCTTTACTTCAAAAAACTTTAAGTTTCACAATTCAAAAGGATCATCTACCGTGAGCTTATGTTCATGCTAGATAATCAATTTCCAGTTCTGTGCTGTTTTCAGTGTTGAATTCAGAATTTAATCTTGTTACAATGTTAAGTAAGATTGTGTTTTCGCACCAATATTATTTTTAATTCATTTCATAATTTTAAAATTAGATAATTTTGTTGCAATGCTAAAGTATTTCAGGATTGGAAAAAATCTTGGACTAAATTCTGTACAGACAGAAATTGCCTTTATAAATTCCCTTCCTATCCTCTTTAGCAGCTTGAATACTTTTCGTTCACTTTCTGGTGTTTTTTACTTATTGCTGATCTAAATCAATGTGTTCAAGGAATTTCACTGTAGTTTCAAAGAAACACAGCCTTTTACTTCATTTTGAAACCTTACGATTTTTCTGAAGTATTAGACCTTGTATTCTTAACTTTTCAAAGAACAATTTTAATTTTAAAAATTAGAGCTTGACTTGAGTATGACTGTATGAACACTGGAATTCTTAAATTCTGCAGCAAGTTCAAAATTGAATTCTCGTACAAAAACAATATCACCATTAAAAGTATGTGTATGTGATTATGGCAAAGCCTCGAGGGCTATCTGCCTAAGAGGAGGGATGCCTTCGTGGAGGACTTTCTAAGGGAAACTGGCTCGTATACACGTTACACATGGGGAAAACCACGAAAACGCCCATGCAGCCAGCCCGTTCGCGGGATTCGAACCTCGGACCGAACTACCAGTGTTCAGCGACTTTACCGCTCGGCCGCTGGTGGGCTCACCATTAAAAGATATGCTTTTCTGAGCATTAATTTCCTTTTTTTTTTTTTAATTATTTGTATTTGGGATAATAAAAATGGCTGAGTAACTTTAGGTAATATTGAAGAAAATAGAATGAACATTAGTAATATTTGTAACACATTTGACTTCCTTTCAGAATTTTTTTTTTACCTGAATATTTCTGAATAAACTAACTTTTATTATTATGACTGCAAAATATCTGCCTTACATATTTGCCAATTTTTATGAATTTTTTTTACTTTTTAAACAAATTTGTTATGTTATGATTTTAACTCACAAAATTCATTTTTTATAAATATTTTAGAGGTGCCAAAAATTGTGTAAGTTAAGTGATTTGTAACCTAATTTCACATAATTTGTATTTTAAGAACATACTTTTGTCAGTTCTATAGATTAGTTCTTGAATTCCTCCTTTTTATAAGTACCTCAAAAAGAAGTTCTTACCTTTTTTAAATATGAATTCTTCTATTATGGATCTCTCAGTGTAGCATTTATCAGCATTTTGGAAATTTTAAGACTTAATTTGTCTTCAAAAATTTTGATTCAGTGTTTTTGAATTTCCTGATAATTTTTAACAAATGTAAAAACATTATAACAATATCATTAAAATAATATCAAAGTAAAGCATTTTTATGCTCCTGTGTTGTGTTTTAAAACATTTTTATCATCCAGTTTGGTGATTTTTTTAGATATTTTGATTATGAAATTTATATAAAACACTGTTTTCAAATTACCTTTTAGCAAAAGCAAAAAAAGTATTTCAAACGTGTTTAAATTAATTTCATTGCTAATCCCCCTTTATGATTTGTGCTTTTTCTTGAATAATTATTTCAAAATTTTCAAATAAATATCAGTTTTCTACGTAAAATTCATTTTATGCTTTTTTGTGATTTAAACTGTTATAAAATTAGCAGATATGCTCTCAATTAAATTATCAAAATGATGCACTTATTGAAATGATCTTATGAGCATCAAAATACATGAGCAGGTGTAAGTGTGTTAATAATTTTGCTAATTCATAATTACAGCAGTATATTTATAATGAATCAGGGCCAGATTTAGACTTGATAAGACCCTAAGCTATTTGAGATGGGGTCCTTTATAAGTCCAGATAGTCACTCCCAAATATGATTTTTTGGATATCTAGAGTGTTTTGGGGAGCCACATAGCGAATGTAGCTTATATGTAAATCCTGCACTGTATGAAATAATGAATGTGCAATTAATATGCACATATGTATATTGCATAAGTCTGGATTAATGTATCAAACATTACAGGTTTAATTTTTAGATGGAATCATCACAAGCTAGAATTGCTTACAGGAAATATTGTTGCAAATGTCAAGTAAATTGCTATAGATTGGAATGACTGAAATGAAAAAGTATAAATAATGAATATCACAGCAGTTCAAAATTAGGCAAAATTCAGTTTTAGTTCAGCACTGGTCAAAGTAAAGAAAAGGGGAAAAAAGTGCCCATTTCAAAAGATTTATGATTGGTGTTCTTTGAAATTGCTCATATCATATTTTCTTTTTCTGCTGACAGAATTTATTTGACTGTTTATGTACTCTGACTCCAATTCTTTTAATAAGCATGCAATCTATACAAATTTTATAGTTCCCTTTATTATTAATGTAAATTTCCTGATTATTTGCTGTTCTACTAATAAACCCTTTTTTCTGTTTTATAAAATTTGCTTGGTTAATCAATCCATTACTAGCAATTTTTTTTAATCAATGTAAAAGAAAAAAAGAAAAGGAAATATAGCTTGATTATAGATACTATATGAAATAATCTATAATCAAGCTTTTTTAATTCAGTTACTTTTTCGTGTGGGGACCCCATAATATTTACGAAAATTTTGTGGGACCCCATAAGCATTGCACAAATCTAACACAGACACATGCATGAGTGAAACTATCAGTTTCTTCACTTTTACCATAATGTACTATTGCAGTTTTAGGTCATTAACTTTAATTTTTAAAGTAAAGTAAATGTTCCTGTTATAAAAAAATGCATCGAAATGTTTTTGTTTTTTGTTTGTTTGTATTGTCTTATCTTTATCTATATTCAGATACATTATGCAAGGTAATTGTAAAATTATTATAAGAAATATCAAAATTGCTAAAATTTTTGCCGACCTTCCCTACTGCAGATCCCACAACCCCTTGACCCTCAGTTTAAGCAACTCTGTTCTAAAGTATTTTCATTTCATCATCCTAACCAAGATTCCACATGTATACATATATATATATATATATATATATATATATATATATGCACACACACACAAAATTATTAGTAGTGGTATTTTATTTTATTTTATGACTGTAGTTGTTAAGTTCTGTATATCCTCTATTTTTATGCATCATAGTTATGCTTTATTTATGTTGTTATAAATATTTTCATAAATGTTGTTATAAATTCTTTTATAAATTTTTAATTTAATACCTTCTAGTAACTGGAAAATTTTTAATTAATAATGTAATTGTTATTTAACTTTTTCCTTATTAGATTACTATATATATATATTTTTAATTTTATCAGGAAGAACTAATTTGCAGTCCACTATCTTATCATGAAGACCAAATGTCAGAGGAAGAAAGATTATCAGAAAAAAGAAGTACAGATGAATTATCTAAAAATGTTCAGAGTGTATTAACAAAAAACTATAGTTTTCAGTTACTTTTGAGGAGTATCAAAACATCTAACTTTCTAAGTGCTGTTGTAGATTTATGTCATCTAGACACACCTTTGGCTGAGTATGTGTGGCTTCAACTCTTTCCAAAAATTTGGAGTGTCTTAAATGTAGAGGAGCAAAAGGTTATTATGTCAAAAACATCATTGTTCTTAATTTTAAGATTTAATTTGTCTTTAAAAGTGTTGATTCAGTAGTTTTTGAAATTCATGATAATTTTTTAACAAATATAAAAACATTCTTATGATATCATTAAAATGGCATCAAATAAAGCATTTTTATTTGCCTAAATGATGATTTAGTGTGTTTTAAAACATCTTTACCTTCCATTTTGGTGATTTTTGGATATCTTGACTATGAAATTTAAGAAAAAGTAAACTGTTAAATTAAAAAAACTGTAATAGATTATGCAACATTACTTAAAAAAATTCTTAATTTATGAAAATATGCACATTAACTTAAAACTTGAGTGTGAACATTATATGCATAGTGTTATTAGAAAATTTATATTTTGTTTGCCATTACTTTTTAAAAATATATAAATTTATCATTACATAAATTAAATTATTTAGTTTTGAAATTATTGTATAAGCAATAAAACAATGAACAGAAATTAATACTAATTAAAAATAAATGTTATGATTTTATATATTTTCAGGAAATAGGAAGTCAGCTGCAATTGTTTCTGTGCAATAATCGCTTTTTAGACTATGATATACATCCGCCAAGGCCTCTTGAAGTGTTTGCAGATGCTGCATTACATTGTTCTCCAGTTTCATCTTTTAGCTTAGATTTATATAAGGTATGAAAATTTTCAAAAATATACTAGATGGTTCTGTGTGTGTCCAACATTGAACTCAGTTATTAACATGAATTCACTACAATAATTTCCTCTCTGCAGCAAATCGTTTAAAGCTTATTATTTCAAAAAAATAAGTAAATAAATAATTTTACTTAAGCCTATATGTTTGCATGTCAGATCATGGAAGAAAATCATTCTTTGTAATTTCAGTACAAAATCTGAAATCCAGAATCATCATAACTTTATCAATTGCGTGTTTGGGAAATTTCTAAATTTTAGATCATCAGTTTAAATCTGCTAAGATAATATACAAACAAGTATAAAATAAAAAAAATGGAAATAATTGTTTATGATATAATGAAGCAATTATGACTTTTAACACTTTTGTGACAGGTACCAAGTCACTCTTTTGGAACAGTGTCTGTAACAAGGTGCACTGACTTGAGGGGATGACTGTTCATACTGCTAAGCCTAAGTTAGAAAACAAAAAATCGCATAAATTAAATTTGTGGTCCAATTATTCTGATTTATTACACATTATGAGAGAAATACTCCGATAGTTATCAGAATTAATTTTTAAAACTTTATTATTATATTTTCCTTAAAAATTCTATAAAATAATAAAACTTTTGACGTTCCTCAAATAAATATATGTATGGAAAAAATATCCAAACAATTAAAGATTTTATTTTATTACATTTTATTATTAAAAGATAAAAAAAATTACAGCCTCTAATAAAAAAATCAGTATAAAAGCATTAAAAAAAGCTATATTTCGAAAAGTACAAGATTAGGTTTTTTTTATTATTCCCATTCAAAAAACAGTTTCATTTGCTCCAGCATTATGTAAAATTTCAGTGATTTTGAAGAAAATGGACCAAAATGGACCAAGATAATTCATGCAAAATTGTTTGTTTCCTTTACAATATATAAGAATTATTTATGGCAACTGAAGATACTAGTTAAATGTGCTTTCTAGAAGTTTCTTATGTTGTACGTCCATTCTCATGTTAATTTAAATGTGGTTTCAAATGCGACACACCCAGCTGTGAGATGTTTGTGGCCCATGCTTATGTGACATGCCTGTCCCAAAAAGATTAAGGAAATAAAAATTTACAAAAAATTCTCAATAGTTATATTTTTTAATGTCTGGCTTTTTTCCCCTAATGATTTCTCTCTAATTTAATAATAGTTATAATTTCTTGTTCAGTAAGCCCTGTAACTGCCGTGTCAACAATTCCCAGTAAAATATCAATCAAAATCTTTTCATTCCAACAGTCTCTATGTGACTTTTTTTGCTATCTGTTAGTGATATTTTATGGATTTAAAACTATACTGCAGATTTCACTGTCCATTAGTTGATTGATGATTAGAGCATTTTCATTGCAATGGACAACTTCTATTAGATTGTCTTCATTTATTATCACTTCATATTTCTTCACAAATTGCATTATTGACTTTTTGTGTGTGTGCGATACCTGAAAACCTTCAAATTCATTACTATCATTATCATCACCGTGACATAGGGTGGTAGCTGGCTGTAAGTTATATCAAGCACTTAAAATATCTGAAGACGCCTTTCCATAATCTTGCAATGTTTGACATAACAGATTTTATGTTAAATATATTTTTTAAATTCTTAAATGGTCTTGCCGCTGTTCAGGAAAATTTAGCATTTAATATAGGATTTTTAAAAAGGTATTTTATATCTGCATTCCATCACACACAACGTTCTGATATCCATTGTCTGGATGACAGACTTAAAATTTGGAGTAAAAAATGAGGCATTATCTCTCACTAAATCTTGAAGTGAAGTTTAAGCTGAACAAGTTTCTATAGTAAGGAGAATTATTATGATACTTTACCTTGCATTATACCATGGCAGTTTTTAATTTATCAGCCTAATTGTGAAATATGTGTACTCAGTTTTTAGTATATTTCCTTATGAAATTTTGAGCCATTAGTATTGGACCTGTCAATCGCATGCTGTTGCACCCACCTATTCATTTCTTCGTTCTGATCATCACTTTTCGAATAAAAAAATTTTTTTCTCTATTATTTATTGCAAGTGGGTGTATCAGAATTCACACACACACACACACCACACACACACAAACAAAAAAAAAAAAAAAAAAAAAGAAAAGAAGAAAAAAAAAAAAATTCTGTCCTTATGTATCATATACTGTTGACTTTCCAGTTCCTTCCATAATTCTGAGATAGATATGCCTTTATCCATTTTCGAAGTAATACCACTTTTCTGCTTGGATTGGCATTGAAACTTGCTTTTGTTTTGCTGATCCTGCTGTAGCTCCAGAATTAGGGACCCTTTTTGACATGATTGAAAATTCAAGGTTAAATTTGATAAAGTAGCTGTAAACATGCCTGGAAGAAATAATGAGTGGGATTAAATTGGAAAGTTAATGAAGTCATATTCTACAGCAGTTTGCTACGTTAACTGAACGAAGTTCCTCAGTATCTACTCCATCCCTGTTGCTGTTCTAACAAAAGAAAAATAGTATGAGCAAAATCCCATTCCAAACAAAATATGTCATTAGGCTTCTTATATTGTTTCTCTGAGATAGAAATATACTAATTCCTCTAATATTGCTCTAAGGCCAAAAGCATGATAGTGGCCAATGTCAGTCAAGGCCATAGTGTGATTCCATGGCCAACAAATGTTTAAAAGTGACATGGAAAAATCACAGTTAGTCCTGTAAAAAATCGCTTTTATGCCACACCTATTATATTCCCTTAAGTATTATAAACTCCATTCTTAGACTTTTAAGGGGGAACTCAACAGAAAAAAAAGAAACAAAATTACTGGTGCTCTGGAGGTCCAGATTTTGGACTTTGTTCTGTACCATTTTCCAAAGATGAGGAATGGTTCATATTCTACAACAGTTAAATTCCTTATATGTATTTTGGGTACAGTCTAATAAACCAACAAATCATTTTTACCAAAAAAATATTTGAATATATGTATTTTTAAAATTTCATGTTGATATTTAGATGCATTTATTATGTTCATAAACTTGCAGTATGCTGGGAAATGTCTGAACAGATGGGAGAGATCTTGTTTGGTGCTTGAAGATACATGCTTCCAAAATGAAGATTTTATTACTGAAAATACTTCTGCATATTTAGAAGCATTAACTGAAGCATATTCATCTATGGAAGAGGAAGATTTATACTGTGGTATGTGGCAGAAATTCGGCACTTATCCTGAAACTATTCTTGGAGTGACTTTAGAGCAACAAGGTTTCTTTTCTAAAGCTATGCATCATTTTAGACAAGCTATGTCAAAATACAAAATAGCTACTTTATTTTCGCCTGCTTTGATACTTCAAAGTGAAGTGGATATGTGGAATACTCATTGGATAAGGTATAAATTTTAACTACTTGTTTAAACCTTTTGTTTTATTGTAGGAATACAAATACTTTTCACTTAATAAATGAGTTTAATTCCTGTGCCTTATTCATTAAGCATATTAGTCATTAAATGAGAGATGTCAGTTTCTGAAATTTCTAATTTGTTTATTGTTAACATGCTTGGACATCTCATCATTTATTTATTATGAAAAGATCAAATTTGGAAAAAGTCTGATGTTATAAAACCTTGTACAAGTACAAAAATTATAAAAATGTAAGATTTATTGAATATTTTGGTAAACAAATACTCATAATGTGATAAAGGTCACAAAGATTTATCTTGTTTAGTCAATGAGTCATCAAAATTGTCAACAACAATATAACTGTCCTTAAAAGCCAGGAAACTGACAACTTCTTAGGCTTCCTTGTGAATGTAAAACTTCTTTTAATTCTCCTCCCCCCCCCAAAGAGAACAAAGTTCATCCACAATCAAGATCTGCTTTTATTTCAGATCCCTTTCTGAATTATTTTATCAAATTATTCATCAAAATTTTCTGCTGCTTCAGTACCTGTCCTTAAAGGTATTACTCCCTGCATTGCATTAAGGTTTCTTTTGATGTTAGACCACAGTTTACTAATATTTTAATAAAAGGAGCACTAAAGTGTCTTGAAACTAGGCTTTCAAGAATTCCATTTCATGCATACTGAAATTGAAGAGGTAATTTCTCTTTCTAAAGTCTCTTTGAGTCAAAGACATTTTCTTTTCCAAAATAAATATTATTACCAAATTGAAGGATTAGCTATGTGTAATCCTCTCAATTCCTCAACTTACTGATATTTACATGTATTATTTTGGGGTCAAATTATTTTAGAAACTATCTTTTTATCTCTGAATTTGTTACATAGATGACTTTTTTGTGCTTTGTGATGGTAATAAAGAAGATTTATACCAGATTTTATATGTTATAAATTCTGTTGATCCAGACATCCAGTTAACTTTTGAAACTGAATCTGAATATACCCTTCCCATTTTTGATATTCTTATAATCCTCAGTGTATCTGATATCAGCACTACTTTTTACCGTAAATCCTTTTCTGTTTGTTTTCCTTCCTATGCTAAGTCATGTAACCCAGCTAAGTAAAAAAGTGGCTTCTTTTTACTGTTAAGTAGTTCATGCTGTCAAAATTTGTTCAGAGAATTTTCTCCCATGGTTATTGATAAAGCCTTTAAAAAATTGTCATCTTGCCATTGAGGAAGTCATTCTGTTGTTAGAAATAACATTCATAACCTTGACAGGATTGATTGATTTATGTCATTTTCTTGCCTATTAATCAAATCCATGGTTTCATTCTTAAAGATTTCATATCTGACTTGAATTCTTGGAGAATTTGTAGCATATCTTTCAGTGTGGTTTGAGATAAAACAGTCAAGCTAAAATAGGATTAAAGTTTTGCATCCAGGAATATGAATCTTAAGTCCGAAAAGGCAAAATTAACAAGTCTTTGTTAGCTAATTATAATTGGATATTTAATCACAATTTTGGCTTTGGCTCTGCAAAAATTATTCATAAAGCTTCTTCCATTGGTGTATTGGATTTTGTTGAAGCTTGTCACATTCACAAAGATTTATCTTGTTTAGTTAATGACTTTAATTCTAATCCAGTCCTTCTTAACACTCTTAAAGTTCTATTAATTAAAATTTTCCATTTTTATTACTATTTTACCAGCAGATTCACCCAACTAACTTTTCATTTCCTTTACTCTTTCTGGGTATAAATACAACCATGGTTTTCCCTTCATTGCATATTCTTCCAAATGAAGAGGGTGCTGTATCTATTTGCCCTTGAAATCGATAGCATCTTGACTAAAATCTATGCCAAACACAAGGTTGTTACTTTACTAATTTTTTTATGTCTTTTTTATATCTGGTCTATCTGTCCTTTTAAACCAAATCACTTCATGAACAAAGTTTCTTTGCTATATAGCCATTAGAGATTTAAATTTTTCTAATAATTTCACTGCTTCTTTGATTCTATTTTTATATTTCAAGATTGTTAAAACAGATAGTTAAAACAGATAGATAATCTCTGATCGGGTTATGTCTCAAATTAGAATCACATGGTATGTATGTATGTAATTTTTGTACAAAGTTTGTTCTGAATTATGACCAGCACATTGAATTAATTCATTTTATATGGCAGGGCTCAAATATTGCATACTTTTTACTGCCATTTGTTTCATAACACTGTCATATTTACTGAATAATTTTACCTGCAATAAAAAATTATTTTATAGCTAGTATTTATATCTTCACTGTGCCTGCAAAAAGCTAATGCATTTTTCACTGCATATGTGTAATATTAAATGACTGTTCTAAAGCCGTTTATAAAAATTTTTCCTTGTATCGAATTTCTTCTTTTATCAATAATTTAGAGTGATACAGCTAGTATTGGGGCATTGGTCTGTACTTCGTACTGATGTATAATATGCTGAATTAAAATGCCTATTTTCTTATTTAGTATCAATTGGAAATGGGCCCCTAAATTTTTGTCATTTTCATTACAATTAATTAGAAATCTTTTCATGTCATTGACAATATTTTTATCCACACAATTACACCTATTTACCGATTTCTGTGTATTTTATTATCAGCCTTGCTTTTAGAGATTGCTATCTGATAATATAGTTTTTTATTCAGGCTTTTCAACCGTACTAGCAGGGACAAAATCTGCTGAAGAATCTTTTTTTGGATATGATGTTTTAACTCCCTGACTGGCAAGGCCATACACATACAGCCTATAATAGTTTTTGAAAGAATATATATATATATATATAGTTTTGAAAGAATATATTTAAGAAAGAATATATATATATATATTTATGTAATATTTTGGCTGTTGGGCATATGAGTGAAGCTTTGCAATCCAAGGACAACACAGAAGTTAATTGTTTTAATTCCACATCTTTATTCAATTGAAAGGCATATCATCACTCTTTACTAAATAAATTAATGAATAAAGAAAGGCAGAAGAGCAGAAGCACGAATCTTAGCAGCAAAGGGAAAGAGCAGTCTCTCTCTCTCTCTGACCCAAAATGGCGCGAGTTCTCTACTTATTATAGAAGCGGTTACGTAATAGGCTGGAATGTTCTTGAAAGTACTGGTCTAGGAGGAAGATCCTGAAATTGCAGTAAGTTAATTAGAGGTTGCTTGTTCACATAGAGCAAAGCCATCATGTTTTTTATATTTTACATATACGCATCTTGAAATATGACCAAAAAATTAAAGCAATATATAAAAACACATAAATCCAGATACAAAGTACCAGGGACATTTTGGCATTAAAAATCATGTCTCTTTCTCATGGCAATTTTGGAAAATTCAGCTTTCATGGTGATATCTAATTATGGGAGTTTTTTTTTTTTTTTTTTCTTCTGTCTTTTCTTTTCATTTTTGAGCCACACTCTTTTGTTTTTAGTATCTATTTTAACAAGTGAAATATATTGTATTTTATCAATTGTTATAAATATTTTAATATTTCTTATTTTCAAATTTTATTTTTCAACCAACAACTAAAAAAAAACAGTTGTTAGGATTTTACAGAACTAAATATAGCATACAAATTCTACTGTAACTTTAGGATGCGGGAACTTAACTCTTCTGATTGCCCTTTTTATCAAATGCACATGTGCAATCTAACCAAAACTAGCATATTTGGTTTGTAACAGCAATTTTTTGCTATGATGTAATATCTTCTTATGCTCAAATTTAAAAAACACAGTAGAAAGATATACAGAATGACTACCACGGGCAAAATACAGAGGCTGTTCACACATTTTTAAGACGATGTATATTGTATTCACAAAACTAAATTGCATAAAAATTCTTGTGTTTTAAATGTTCTATTTGACATCCCTTATTCTGAACTATCTTTCGACTCCGCAATTTCCAGGATAATAATGCCTTTTGAAGTGGCAGAAGAGGTATTCTATCCCATTCCTCCCGAACAGCTTTCCAGAGTCCTGTTAGGGTTTTGGGACAATGTTTGGATAATGAAGTTTTTAAAAGTCCGAAAGCACAAAAATCCATAGGTGACACATCGGGAAATTTAATAGGGATATCAGTGAAGGGTATGGCCTTGATACCAGTTTTTTGTTCTATTTCTTTTAGGAAATTTACAGTGGATTTTGTTGTGTGACTGCTAGCTTTGTCCTGATGGAGTCTCACAGATTGATGGCACTGTGGGTAACGGAGTATACATATTTCTCTTCGGAAAGAGCGTAAATGTAGCCTTCGAACCACTGCTTTGTTAAATTCGCCATTTTGAATAAAAACAGAAAACTTTCAAGCCACAGACGATAATTTTTACTTTTAAAAACATAGTACAATTGCAATTACTTCTTTTGCAGCAAATGATTTTTTATTGCCGCTTACCAAAATTGTCTAAAAAATGTGCGAACAGCCTCTGTAGGCTACCTCTGGTTATATTGCTCAGGTGCATTTGATGACAATGCATATGTATATTTCAATGTATATTGCAGGTGGGCCAGTAGACAGACTGTTATAGCATTCAATTTTATTTCTATTTTTTATATTATTTGAAAATAAGATATAAAACTCTTTTATAATTAATGACATAATTCATTCCCAAATATCAAATATGTATATAAAAAAAGGTTAAAGGTAGATTTGACCACGAATTTATTAATATATTATTACTTTTCAAATTTTCAGAAATCAAAATGTAATGGGCCCTTAGGCATTTCCTAATCTTGCCTATCTATAGTAGTTACACTACTGAGACCTAGAGAGATGCTGAGTTGTACCATCTGAATAGTTGTCTAAAATTGCTTGGTAGTTGTAAATTTTAGATTTTATGCACAAATGAACTCAAATTATACACCATAAGTGGTGCATTGAGTCACTAGTTAGTGAACATACTGGTCAAATCATTCAAGCCATTGTAATGAGTCTACTGCTGCTATATTTATTACCCTCCTCATGATGGATGGCAGTACTATCTAAAAATGTATAATGTTGTTGACACTTTAAATCAAAAAGTGTAGAATATCTGAACAATTTAAAAAATTAATAATTAATTGTGCCATTTGTCACTGTAACTATTATTTCACATTCATAATCTCCACAATTTATGTCAGTTTGCTATAATCATATTTGGAACTTGTTTTGCAAGTGAACCAACCCATGAACCTACTGCTTAGAATTTGTAATACTCTTGTACTTAGGCAAGCTTTTGTGTGAAGCCAACATTGTCTGATGATTTGCATACTGTTATGCCATGACTTCTGATATATGAAAGTATATATGAATACACATGTTTTAAGAAAGTGTTCAAGATTTCATTTAACAGATTAATAGCTTTCAATTTTTTTAATGTTTTTGCTTTGAATTTAGATGAGCAGTTAAAATTAAATTTATTTCCATTTAAGTCTTAGTTTTTAAAGTGTATTTATCATTTATTTTTTAGGTGTGCTCAAGAACTAGATAAGTGGGAGTATCTTTTAAGGTATTCATTTGCTCCAAATGTTAATGATCATCTTGTTGCTCTGCAGTTTGGTTGGCGATCTTCAGGCTGGGATGACATAGCGAATGCTCTGGACTTGGTTAGCATTGCATTTTTATTACGGTTTAAAAATTTAATCTTAATTTGCCCATTTTGTAGGAATTATATGCTTTTTTTATCAATTAAAATGTTATCATTGTAATAGATTGTATTAAATTATAATTGTTTAGTGTTATTTATTTTTATACTGGACTATCTATTTTTATACTAACTTGTGCTCAAGCCCTAGTGAATAAGTTGGCTGTCGTGGTATTCTTATGTTTTTCTTCATTTGTAACTCGAAATATAATCCAGCTTGCTTTAAAAAGTGCTCGATAAATGCATTCACCCTTTAAGTAGGTAATCTTTGTATACTTTGCAGCATCCATATTTGGCCAGAGGTGTTTTTAATAATAATAATAAAGGGTTGTATTGTAAGCTTAATTATTTTATTTTTACTCCCATTATATCTTGCTATTACATGATATTTTCAATCTTTACCTTATGGCATTCATGTATGTTAATGAAATATTGCAGTTTCTGGGAGGGGGAACTAAAATTTATAAATCTGGCATGGATAGTGTCTGCATTCTTTTTTATTATCAATATTCCTCTAATATTATTCTGATATTGCCTTCCAGTTTCTTGTTTGTGTCTTCATTGCTATTAATCTAGTGTATCCATCATTATGGTTCTTTCACTTCATGTTTTCTATTTTTAAATTTTTGGTGCCATTATTAAATGGCTTTTATTCAAACTGAGTGAAACTTTCTATCCTTTCATATGACTTATCTGTCAGGCCAGGTATACTGTAGCTTTTATTATTATTATTATTATTATTACTGACAAACAAAGGGATCTTAACAGTTTTAAATATTGGTGTTTTTAATGTATTTTTAATTTGAAATGAAAAGAAATATTTATACATGTTATGTAAGAAAAAAAATTGTAAAATGAAAAAAATTAAATCGTAAAATGAAAACATTATGTGAAATATAAAAATTAGGTATTCTTAATTTATTTTATTTTTAATTTTGCTTTGCTCTTTTTAATTAAAAAATTTGATTTAAATCATTGAAAATGTTTAGAATGGAAGCATAATTGAAAAGAGAGCCAACTTTCTGTGCTTGTTATGCAAGCATTATTTGAATTAAAAATAGTACCAGAGACAAAATACTGAACTGTAGCATGTATATTGGCAAAAATATCTTTTCATTTCATCCCTACATATTTTTTACAAGTAAAAGGGGCATGGCCTACTGAAATCCACAGGAAAATTATAAGGGTGTTTCTGTAACAGATACGATATTAAAGCTCACTATTCCTTCTTAAGTCAATTTCTAAAATTTTGTGTGCAGATATTAAAGAGTTGTGCATGCAATGTCATACGCATTATTTTGTCTGCTACATGTTTATTTATCATTGAAATATTACACAATGAGTGCATAGTTAACTGTCTGAGCCTGTAAAGCAAATTCAGTGCAAAATGTACTCAATATGGCCACCATTTTGTTTCACAACCTCCTACAAGGGAACCTTAGCATTTGTCACAACATCCCACACATCTTCCAACATCCTTCTAGTATATATCTTCCAAAATTCCTCAGAACAGCTGCACAGTAATGCTTAACCCTTTCCGGCATGCTACCTTTTGAAATTGGAATTTCAACAACAAACAAAAAAAAAAAAAAAGGCTAGGCAGTCTAACCAGACCTAGAGGAGTACACAGGTAAAATTTTATAAAGTTATCGTTTTAATTCTGTTACACTTATCGTTTTAATTCTGTGGGTGTGCCCGATGCAGACACACTGAATAAATCGAAAGAGTGCTGAAATGAGCATTACTGGGAAACGGGTAAAAGGGTAAGAGATTTTGCCTACAATTAAAAATCACTAGAATACGCATAGACTCCAACTACTACAGATTCTCCGTAGTTTCTACGGAAATTCATGAAAAACTACGAGCTACGAAAAGTATGGAAAAAACTATGGATTTTACAGAAACAAGAGCAGGAGAACCAGTATGCAAAACGGAACCAACTAATTCATCCGATGATTGGCTGAATACTCGTGTTATCATATATCACGTGTTGAGTGCGTTCCTAGTTTTGAAGAATTAGCCAATCGTAGATCAGTAACTCCAACCGTTAACGACTTATCAATAGTTCCACCCAATTGTCTGTCTCCCAGGTTCCTCGCTGATGCGTGTTTAGGCTGCATTCGGCTGCATTGTGTAGTTTACGGCGAGAGCTTAGCGTGTGTCTTGTGAATTGTGAATCAGGTGAAAGATTTTTAATCATAATGCTGCCTCGAACAAAGAAGCCAAAATTATCAAAGCAGAAGTTTAAAGATTCATATTCTTCAGAATTTCCATGCATTAAAGCGTCCGAAATTTCTGTGAATCACGCACACTGCAGTGTATGCAACAAAGACTTCTCAGTTGCTCATGGCGGAAAAGATGACTGTAAACGGCATGTGTTTTCTCAAAAGCATATAGAACTTGGCACCGTAAAATCTAAAGAAATAACAAATTTCTTAATAAAAAGATGGAAACAGATCCTATAAAAGCCGAATGCTATTTTGTTCGTTTTTTAATTGAACATAATCTATCGCTTCTGTTTCGGATCATTCCAAAGAGCTTTTCAAAGCAATGTTTCCGGATTCTGCCATATAGCAAAAAAATTTAGCTGCGGTCATACCAAAACTGCTGCTATTGTGAAAACGCTTGCAGAAAATACTGTTGCTGATATTATAAAATCAGTGTGCAGTACATCATTTCTCTAAGTACTGATGGAAGTAATGATAACAATGATAACAAACTGTACCCATTGGTTATAACATACTACAGTTAAGAAAAGGGAGTGATAATTACTTCATTGATTTCTATTTAGAATGCACGAATAATACAGGAGAAGGTATTTTTAAATTGTAATAAATGAAAACTTTAAAAACAAAAGTTTAGAATGGAAAAATTGCTTATCATTTTCTTCAGATAATGCTAGTAATATGATTGGAAAGTTTAAAGGTGTAGCATCATTTATCAAAATGCATCAACCAAGTATATCACCCGAGGTTGTCCGTGCCACCTCTTGCATATAGCTGCAAAAAAAGCTGCTGAAAAATTAATTGGCTCAGAAATTGATATGTTGATAATAGATATATATTTTTTACTTGGAGAAAAGTTGGAACGGAAGCATAGCTTCAAAGTTGCTCACAAATTTTGGGACAGAATGCAAAATCTCATAAATTTTGAAATATTGCAGTACGAGATGGTTGTCTCTTTTAGAATCTATAACAAGGATTTTGGAACAGTGGGATGCTGTGATAAATTTTTTTGGAGATAACCAGATAACAGTGAGAATGAAGGAAAGAGATTGCAAAACATTAAAAAATTTACAGTCACCGACCACCAAATTGTACTGTGTTATTTTTGAAAAATACTTTGCCTTTGTTTATAACAGTAAATATTAGTTTGCAACAACAAGCTCCTTATATACATAAATTGAGAAGAGAACTTTTTGAACTTTAATGAATTTATTTGTTAGATTCGTAAAACCATCAGTAATTTCTAAAGAAATGAAGATGTTACTCTAACGTCTATTCCATTTCAGAGAAGTATAGTAACAAAAAGAAAATGAAAATTAGTGATTGGTGCGGAAACAAGACTATTTAAAAAATGCCAAGTTGAATGAAAGTGAAGTGAAATCATTTTCAATCTTGTGCGAGCTTTTTTGTAACTGCATGTTCATATATATTGATAAATTTCCACTGAGTGATCCATTTCTAAAACAAGCTGAAGTTGCTGACATCAACTTGAGAACTGAAGTCTCATTTTCATCTCTGTTCTTTACTTGATGAATACTTTTCCATCCATTGATGAAAAATGTCTTAATCAAGTAGAAATTGAATTTTCCATGTATCAAGTAGATTTGAAAGAAATTGTAGATTTGCGTATTGATATAGCATGGGGAGAAATGCCAAATTAAAAAATATGAATGGGTGTATTAAATACAAGTATTGCCTAATGCTGTAATGCTTGCTGTCTTAATAATACCTCATTCAAATGCAGCTTGCGAAAGAATTTTTTCTATTGTTAAAAAAAATCAGACGGAATTTCGACCAAATTTAGGTCTTAAAACTCTTGAAGCAGTTTTGATTGAAAAAATAAATATGCAGGCAAATGAAAACTGTGTTATAAAAAACATTCTCAAAATCAGAACTTAAGCTTGCTAAGCATGCTACATATAAATCTTTGCATTCATAAATTATGCGCATTTTGTTTAATACTTATATGTATCATTCTTGGTTATTTAATTTTATTTCCCTGTAGAAATCATATCCAGAATAAATATGATTTATAGCTTCTGATTTTTTCTATGATTAGTAGTGATTTGAAAGTACTTTTTATTAGTGAATGCTTGAGGAGTTAAAAGAAAATTTCTAATTAAATGTGCATATAATTTACAAGGTATATTTTTAATTATTCAGTTTTATATGTATATGGATTTTAAATGTAATAAAATTGATTACAATTAATTATTAATTTAAAATTAATGAATGGTTAATTACAACATACGCTACGCGCACATTTTCAAAGTTGTAAAAATGTCGTTCGCGCGTTGACTACTGACAAGGTTTGCTGAAGGTTGGAGTCTATGGAATACGGTAGTAGATTTAGCATTACCTTGGGGAGACCTCCTACTGTACACCCCCCATAAAAGAGCTCTTTTTGGTTATATGATGACTACATGCATATGAATGGAAAAAATGTAACTTGGGTATATGATATTTACATTTCATATTTACACTTTCGTCTATTTTTTTCATGGTGGTACTTTTCGAAGAAAGTGAAAAATCACAACCTAATATTGCATGTTTTGCACATGTACCTGGATACGTATCAGTTTGCTATTTGAAAACAATATGTGTAGCGCTTTCATTGCTTCAGAAATGGTCAGCCCTCTCTGATCCATTTGGAAAATAATTAAAAATCCGAAAAAATAAACTAATATTATTGAAATTATAAACTATAAAATAAAATTAAATAAACGTCTACAACTCAAAACTATTAAATGCAGCGCTAGCAAAACTTCTTTGAAGAAAGAGAAAAAATTCCATTCTGCTTTAGTGATGAACCAAACAGCTAACTGATAAAATTACCCCTGACCTTCAGAAAATCATCCTAACAATTTTTTAGTTCATAACCAAACGCCTCCTGCCAAAAAAAAAAAAAAAAAAAAAAAGAACAAAAGAGAGAGAGAATTAAAAGAGAAAAACAGGAAATGAAACACAGATGGGGACCCACCTTTCTGTAATGAGCTGCAGAGAAACAAAAATATAGTCTCTCAGTGAGCCCACTCTGGGCACACCTGATGTTCGCCGTTCTATTTTAGGCAAGATTAAGGTAAAAACTGAAAACTAATATAGAATAAGGAGAGTAGCATACAGCCAAGAAAATAACATAGAAATTTCTTTTCAAACAATTACTTTTATATCCTTAAAAAAATCTGGAATATTTCTTTGAAAAATGAGGGTCTTTAAAAACTAAACATGGCTATAATATATGGACCGGTTTGTGTTGGGCTGCCATCTTCTCCATATAAAGAAGGTTCAAAGTAACCTATAGTAACCTATAAATGCTCTATGCTCTTTCATTAAATTTTTCTTTGCGTACAGAAGGAAATGTTTAGGTGCCACAAAGGGTTAAAGGTGTACTTTCAGTAAAGAAACCAGGCTTTCTTGCAAGTCCTATTAAAAAAATAGACAAAAAGAGAACATATGGCTTAATATCTGGGATATAGGGGGCAATTTTCTTGCATTTTTGTAATGTGCAGTGGACCAATGTGACATTGCATGAACATTAAACATTTCATACAGAAAATCAAGAATAAAATGTATGATTTCTGGATGTGCTGTGACTTGCATAAACCACTAAGTGTGTAAAGGGAACCTACTGCCATTTTCAGGTTTGCAGACACGATAGGACATACCAATTCATATTCTGTTCCAAGAGAGAGCCATTGAGTTCTAATTGCTGACACATTATGTGAGTAGTATGCTTGCAATGAGCCCATCTTGTACCAAAGTGTGCAAGAAAATGCCTTTGTTTCTTCAAAATCATGTTCACCTTCTGTTCAACACTCAGTCTACCATCTTGCAAACTGTTTCACAGCAAATTAATCTGATGTTGATTTCTGTTGACATCTATAAAATTTTCAATGTCTGAAAGAAACTTAATATGTATTTTAACATATATTAAAAATTTTATTTGATGACAATAGTATGACATTTTGTGCATCACCATGTATGTGAATAACATGTAGAAAAGGTAACTCATTTTTTAATCATTACTCATTTATAATTCTGATCACTGTTCACTCTAATGAATACCAAATGTAAACCTAGCACCGAAAAAAGGGACAGTTCTGTATCTCCCATTCTGCTGGGCTGATTTGATGAAATTTAATTTACATTTTTCATGTCTCAAAAGTGTGACTTAGGATATATGTTAGATTTATATATAGCTTTGTTCTAACATAGATATTTTGACACAAAATTGGACTTTTTCTAAAATGGCATGCTGTTTATTAATTTATTTATTTATTTATTACTATATAAATAAATTTAACAAACATTCTCTATTCGTAAAAAGCAAATTTAATTTTTAAATGAAATTTAATGCAAACAAATAAATGATTAATAATTGTTGTGAACTAATCTACTATAACATTTAAATTCTGAGAGCATATGTAAATCAAGTAGAAGTATCTTAAATCCATGAAATAAAATTAAAATTCCAAAAACTATTTAATCCTAAAAAATTTTATTAAAATGCATAAGTGAATGATTGTTGAGCAGGCAGGAGACAGACATGTCAAAGGGGAAGTTGCCTCCAAACCTAACTCTTCAATCATTCAAAACCAAATGGGGTGAGTTACTAAAAAGAAATTTAAACAAGTGGAATTTTGAGTAATTAGCAATTAAAAGACTAGAATTAAAATTTAAAAAATTAATAAATAAGAGTTAAAAAAACCAAATTTTCAGAAAACCAAAGTAATTTAGAAACTCTTGCCTATAGAAACTTCCCCTTTATTAAATCCTAAAAAATTTTATAAAAATGCATAAGTGAATGATTGTTGAGCAGGCAGGAGACAGACTTATCAAGGAGAAGTTGTTAAATTCAAATTTCATTCCTTCCAACAGTGGTGCAAGAGAATTATTTAAAATTAAATTTAACTTTATTAATTCTTTAGAAGCAATATATATATATATATATATATATATATATATATATTATATATTTCAAATTCTCCGATTCAAATTATGCCCAATTTTGCAAAATTTGGTGACAAACTTACCAAGAAATTTAAAAATTAATTTTGGCTCACTTTTTTTCAATTTGCACCAAAAATAATTCAATTGGCGATTCTTAATTTATAGCAACCTATTTTCCTTCTTCTTCTTTCATTGTGCATGAGAGGAAAAAAAGGTGCATTGTTCATAATTTCAAACAAACAAAGTCCATAAATTACATTTGATGTTTATAACAAGTATGCCAGATTTCAAACTGTTTCTGTATATAAATTCAAGTATATCTTTAGAAATTGTGATTAAAAAGCTAACATTTTTTTGCCGGTATGCCTAGAAATACATCTACTTTAAGCTGATGGTAAAAATTTATAATTGGAAAATTTATAAAAATTACTAAAAAAAAACTAATTTTAAAAACTGCTATAAATTTTATTTGGAATGAACCTAAATTTCGAACTATGAAAGAAGGAATCAAGTAAGTTTATTTTAAAATTAGAGAGATTAATAAATATACACCAAATTCAATAAACTTTAAGGAGCTAAAATTTTGAGAGCTCTTCTTGTCTTTAATGATGATTTAATTTACATGGCCAAACAATGCTCTTCTCTAAATTAAACTAATTAAAAATACATTTAAGTTGTTAATCATTTTTTGTTTTGTTGTTGCTATTGTTAATTATAATATGGATTATTCTCATAAAACCCATTTTTCTAATTGTTGTTGAATAAAAACATCATATTTTTGATTTAACTCTGGATGTTGTCTCCTATATGACTGCTGGTAATTTGGAGTCTGCTGCAAGTGAGAATGTTACTCAAGCAATAGACATGATTGCCAGTCCCATTAAGTTTTTCACAGTATCCTTTGTTTTATTTTTTGCCAATTATACATTGGGGAATATAATTAGATCAATATAATTGAAGATATTTTCTCTCCAGCATTTTCTTCAGTCTCCAAATGTGTTGAGTTTATTTAAGCAAATATTCTAATTTGAATATTATTTTAACATGAAAATAATCTTTGCAAATAATATTTTCAAACTCATCTGGCACTGAACGAAATCTAAATTATAATTTGAGCAGTTAAGTAGGTAAATAGCTTACTACAAAATTGGAATTGTTTCCCTTTAAGCTTTTGTTATTATACATACTTGAAACATAATTTATGAATGCTTTTTGCATTTACTGTATGTTTTCTTTTCGTGAATTTTGATAACGATTTTATGTTACCATTTCAATCATCCTCAGAATTTTATGATATGAATAGCTAAGAAGAATAGTTTTTAATTTAGCTCTGGATACAAACTTGATTTTGAATATCTGTAAAATGTAATGAAATTTCTTGTGATGACTATTTCTTGTAACTAATTATTTTTAAAAAGTTATTCTTAAAATAAAACAAACAGACAAAATAAACATCTACTGGGTAACAGTAGGCATCATCTCTTTGAGGTGACCACCTTTGCAAAATGCTGAAATTAGTTGGAACCATAGATTGTTATCTTGGGGAAGTTTCACTACAATGTATAAACGTGATGCATACACTGATTTGAAATTTTATGCTTTGCTGCAAAACTACTACTGTGAATTAACTAAACGCTTGAAAATAAAATCCAGTTTTTCAGATTTACTGTTTTATATTTCATATAACATGATCTTTGTTCAGGTTATAATCACACAATCAGTATTTATTTTTTAAATCATTTTTATAGGTTAGACAGAACTATTCAGAGGATTCATTGTGGAAAATATCTTTGTATGATTGTTACATAAGCACATGTAATTTGCAAGGTAGACATTTTAATCAAGCTTCTAAAAATATTATGGATGCATCATCTCTCTGTATTGAAAGATGGAAGTCTTTACCAATTCCATTTTCTGGCAGGCACTATTTACTATTACAAGTAAGTTACTGTTTTACACTATAATTAGTACATAGTTCATGTTTTACATTATAATTAGTACATTGTTCATGTTTTACATTATAATTTTCATGTGTTTCAGTATTCTGGGAAGTATCTCTAAGTATATTATTCTTATTTTTAAATTTAATATGATAAATACTGTTGATAGTTACTAGTTTAGCATATATTAGGGAGAAATTAAATGTCAAATGTTGTTAAATTCATTCTGCAAACATATTTTTGAATGAATAAATATTTTTCTGTAATTTAAATAGTTGAGGAAAACGTTATTAGATTTCTTATTCTAGAATAAAATATAATATTAATTTAATAATAATAACAAATATTAATTTTTGTTTCCTTTATAGGCTGCACAAAAGATTAGAGAGTTCGACAAAGCTAAAGATTTCCAAGCGGATGTTGAAATGAATGATATATCTGAACATTCTATTTTCAGTTTGATTTCTAAAATCCAGTCATATTGGTGCTCTGAACATCCACTTATTAATGAGGATTTTTCCTTTTGGAGTGACTTTATTTCATTTCGTCGAAAACAGTTTGAGAATTTTTGTTCCCGGAATGAAAGTGATTCTACCTTGAAGTTGTTGAATTGTGTCAGGGACTATTTTCATAACCAGTCATTTATTCAGTTGGCAAAAATATCACGCAAACATGGACAAATTGGCATGTGTCTGGAATATTTGGACAAGTATGTATTTTACTTCGATATTTTCCCTTTTTGTTTTCAGTTTTCATATATTGAAAACAAATAAAAACAAATAAATAGAAAATGTCTTAAGATAGTTTATTACTTTCAGCTGAAGATGATTTGCTCTACTGAATCTTTTGAGAAATTCCATTTAGTTTAATCTTAAAGAATTTAACTTTTTTAATTCTAATGATAGAAAAAAAACTTTAATTCATAGTTAGTACCACAAAAGCATTGTAAAATTTCTTATCTTCAATTAAAAAATCAAGAATTTTATCATCTAGATTTTTTATATATAAATTTGCATTTTGTAATTTATTGGGTAAGTGCAAAAGTTCTACCCGTTTTCATTACCCATAAAGAAGAGCAAATAAATGCAAAATGAACAGTACCTATTATTGCGCATAATCCTCACTGTTTTCTATGGCCTGTTGCCATCTTTCTGGTAGGAGATGAATCACACAGCGGTAAAATGCTGGCGGTTTCGAGCCAGAAAAGTCTTTGGAGGGCAGTTTTCATAGCATCAAAATCATCAAAGATTTTCTGACTGAAGGAATTGTTCAACGCATGAAATAGGTGATAGTCAGTTGGTGCCAAGTCAGGAGAATAGGGAGGATAAAGTCAAGTAACGTTTGGCGAGTGATGATAGCAACATGTGGTCTGGCATTATAGTGAAGGATAACACCACGACGATTGATGAGACCTTGCCGCTTTGCTACCAAATTTGAATGCAACCTGTCTAACTGTAGATAGTAGAAGTCAACAGTGATGGTTTGGTTGAGTGGCAGGGCCTCCTAGTGAATTGTTCCCTGCACACACTCAATAAGACCTTCTTGGTATGAAGTTCGGCTTTCGAAGTCGATGCAGATCAGAAGAGAACACACTCCTATGACACAGAGAACATGCTCCTATGATGCAGAGAACACACTCCTATGATGCTTTATGTACATAACCCACTTCTCATTTCCTGTCACAGTTCGCATCAAGAATGGGTTGTTTTTGTTACCAGGAAAGCAAGGAAACACAGGTAGCGAATTGGTCATTCCTTTGATTAGTTGTCAGGTTATGTTGAATCCAATGATCCAAATTTTCGTAAAACTCAACTTAACCAACTGTCTCTCGACCATTGTCTGGTGTACATTGAAGGTCTCCACTAATTCTTGCATGGTTGTGTTCAGGTTGTTCTTTATGGCTTGGTCAATATCGTCTTCTTTAACATGTGATGGCTGTCCACTCCTAGCCTGATCTTGGCAGCTTCTATCTCCTTCCCTAAATTTACGTAACCATCAACAACATGTGCTTTTGTCTACTGCATTGATTTGACAAACATTGTGACATGCTACGGCTGCCGTACTCTTTTTATCAAACTCGTATAACAAACAGTGTCATACGCTCCTTCTCGCTTTCCATGTTACACCTTCTGAGATTTTTTTTTTAGATGATTAACTATGCAACACACGATGCATTTATATGTGAGGCATCCATACATTTGATAAGCCGGCGATTTTCGTCATTACAATGTCATGTGTGACATCAATTCCACTGCAAATTTGCATATACAAAAAATGGGTAGAACTTTTGCACTCACCCAATAGTAAGTTTATTGTGTATTAAATCAGACTGCAGAAAAGTCTTCTTTTAGTAATTCCGTTTTTAAAACAGTAGCAGTTTTTGCAAAAGAGGTACGTAAATTGAGCCATTTAAACTTCAGAGCTTTTAAAGCTTCCATACTTAACTTTCAAAACAAAACAAAATATTTCTGATCTAAGCTTAAATATAATTTAATACGTCAAAACCTATTAAAAATTGTTACAATTCCTTTTTTTTTTTTTTTTTTTAATAAGTTTATTTCTTATTTCTTAATATCTGCTCGTGGATGCTCCCTAATGTTAGGAAAGAAATTTTAGAAACAAATATATACTCAAACTGAAAGTAATTTTAACTTCAAGGCATATAGCAAACCAAAAAACAAGTTATGAAATGCAACTTATTTGTGTAGTGTGAAAATGAACATCAAAGAATGCTAAATGATGGGATGCAAAAATTGAACTTCCTATTGTGAAACTGACCAGTGTTTCATAAACTAGAAGAATAAACTTTCATAGAAAGAATAAACGCTGTGCATGGTGTAGAAGGGAAAATGAGTGAAGTTGATTTATCACAGTACAATTACGCTTCAAAAACACAATTGTAATAATTTGCATGACTTTTCACTGTCCCAAAATATTAAGATATGTTAATCCACTGACATGGCAAAGAGAAGTCCCATCTTTTTCATTCAACAGCATCTATCTGCTTTAATTCAAAGTTCAGAATTAGCTTCATATATATAAGGTAAAAAATATAAATATATGAGATGAATTTCAATATGGAACCTTTACTTAAAGTCACATAATTAAATTATGTAAAAGCATAATTTGAAATGTTATTATTTTTAAGCAGCACAAAAACTAAGTACAGTTTCTTGTAAATTAAGTTGATCTCAGCTTGCCCATTCATGCTATCTCTGGACATTGTTTATGAAACATGCATCAGTTGCAAAACAGGATGGAAAGTTCAACTTCTGCATCCAATCGTTTAAGTTTTCCGCATGCAAAATCATCTCTTTGATATATATGCATTATATTCACAGATAGTTTCTAAAAAGTTTTATAAAATACTTTCTAACATTGTCCTATGTTAGCAGTCTTTGGAAGCAATGGGAGTTGTAGCTGTTGGCTGAAGAAAAGGCAAAGAAAGCATCACTCATATTTGTAATCATGAAGTGGCAGATTGACTTAACAAAAAAAGACAAAATGCAAAATTTTTACTGGCTGAAAACATGAGATTTGAAATTGAATAAATCACTGCAGGAAACATTTTGTTGCTGTTGCTGCTACTACAGCCACAAAACATTTCCTCCTCTTCCTGCTGCTGCTTCTCCTTCTCCTCTTCTTGCTCATCCTCCTCCTCCTCCTGCTGCTGCTCCTCTTTCTCTTCCTGCTACTCTTCATCCTGCTGCTGCTACTCCTCATCTCTGCTCCCCTTCCTGCTACTCCTCCTGCTGTTCTGCTGCTGCTCCTCCTCCTTCTGCTACTCCTCCTGCTGCTGTTTGTTGTTGTTGTGTTTGAAAAATGCTCAAGTGAAAAGATTTAAGAAAAAGATAAATTTTAGATCTTCATGTTAGATAACTGGAACCAAAGAAAACCTGCATTAATTTGAAATTAATTTGGATAAATTGTGGATTTCTCTGAAACAAACTAATAAAACATAAAATGTCTAATTTTCATAAAATTTCATTTTCTATAAAACTAAAAAATATTCTTATTTCTAGAGCTCTTTTCATTACACAAACTGCATAATTCACTAAAATGTTTGGAGATAATTTTGTATGTACTGGTGGATGGCCCACAAATTGGAAAGAGAGAAATAACTTTGTTCATCAGAAATTACATAGTAAGGAGGAAGAGGCAGATCATTATGAAGCTGATAGTTAGCTAAATGATGAAAGGCAGATGATTTAAGAAAGTAAGAAAAGAACTTAATGCATTGCTAATGTGCAGTATGGATCCAACAATTAGGAAGACTACACTGGTAATTGATAAAAATAGAAAACCTCGATGTTTGAAAGAAACTAAGCATGGCAGCAAGAACTCCTGAATGATCATTGAGTTGATAATTATTTTTATTGATTTTCTTTTGAAATGGGACAGCAGATTGGAGAATGAAAAAATAGCTTAGATAACTGTGAAGCACCTACATGTCTGATCTCTAGCCATGAAACATTAGTGTTTTTTCCTGTAAATGCAACTTCTAATATTCAGCGGGCATTATAAAAGCTTTCAAATGTCATGATAGGAATGATGTTCAGAAAATGATAAACAGAATTGAATCATGAAAAGAGATGAGAAGGAGTAATTTTGAATGAGATAACTATATCGATATTTTTGCTGGAGGCTTTAGAACAGGGAATATCAACCTTTTTTTTTTTTTTTTTTTTTTTTTTTTTGTGCCATGCGCCCTTTCACCACTGCTAGAAATTCATTCCTCCCCTTCTTTTTTAAATTTAAAAAATGCATATCCATTTATTTAGATTATTTTTTTATGTGTTTTACTAATTAAACAGCAAAATGTATAAAAAGTGTTAATAAATACCAAAAATTGAATAAAAGTACCTTTTTTGTATTCATAAACTAAAACTAAATACTGAACAGCTAAGTAAAAGGTTGACCATATTCTGTGCCCTAAAAGTATGAAATCCCCCCCCTCGGTTGATAATCCCTGCTCTAGAGGCTATGTATGTGATAATCAATTCAGGGGGATCAGTCTTTTAAAACTCAGTTGAAAACTGTTTTATAATATGTAGTTTCTCTTTAGAAAAATCTTAAAGAATTGCAAGCTATAAAAAATCAGCTCAAAAATGAGCTAATGTTTCAAGCATCAGATATGAATAGATTCATTTTTACTTCCTTTTTATAAAGTAAAGGAAGTATTTTATTCATGAACAATTTCAAGGAAAATAGCAATTTTGATTGCTCACGAATCCATTTGAATGATTTTTTTATGTGATATCTGTACGTATGGACAGAATAAAGGATAAATTGATTTGAAATGCTTTCAGAAGGATTTGTGTCATTACATCTGCACGTACACGTGTATATATTTATTTATCTCACCTAACTCAAAAATGAGTAGCCATAGAACTTTGAAATTTTGTGTATGGAACTGCTGTAGCATTTAGGTGTGCACCTGCCCTTTTCATTGCAGTTGACTGCACCGAACATGTATATGTATAGATAGATAGATATTAGCTATAGATATGTATAGATAGATAGATATACACCTAGCTGGGTGATCTCAGTATTTGGATTTTTATATGTTGGTAAATTGTGCATTTTTTGCTTTAAAAGTGGTTGAATTATGTTGTTTTTATGTTTCAGTTAAGGTTTTTATGCCTTTAGTTAATCTGCATGCAACAGTTGTAGTATTATCAACAATTTAAAAGTTTAAGTGGCACTAGGCCTAACAAAGCCACCATTTGTTTACATTTGAAATGTAATAGAATAGTGAAGTCAGTTTGTGCACCAACTTCGGTATCTTTTTTCCCAGTGGGACCAAAAGTTAACTTTCAATTCTATGCATCAAAAATGTGATTTTCCTGCCCATTTGCCAAATTGCTTGTTTTTGCATAAAAATTCTAATTTTAGTAGTAAAAATTGTTTTTTTTACTTTTTTTTAAATTTTATTTTATGTATTTGATGTTTTAGGTTTATCTGTATTTTGCAATTTTTAATGAAGATTTTTCGGGTTTTTATGTATTTTCGCATTGCTGTGAAGTAGGAACTAAACTGATTAAATAAGAAAGATATCTGTAACAAAATTTAAGGAAATAAATTTAAATGAAAGTGCAGCAAAAAATGTATATAATTTAATAGGCCATACGAGGAAGTCATATGGTGTCCACATCAGACATTTAGAATATGTGTCAACTGATGACAATGTTGATTCAACAGGCATAAAAACTGGCTGTTATAAAAAGTATTAAACAAACTGCAGAACTGATAGGTAACAGATACAGAAGAAAGTGAATACTTGTCTAAAAAAGTGAATCTATTAAAAAATGTGCGAATTCAAAAGGGGGGAAAAAAAAGAAATCTCTTCAGTGTTGAAAAGTGCTGATCAAAAATGCTATCAGCTAGTGCATAATTTGCATAATTATGAAAACATTTTTGTAAAAAAATAAAGAATAAATTTCAAATTTGCATAAATAATTTAGTTTTTAATTGTTGTTTTAAGATGAATTACTGTATTATTTTTATTTATTATTTTATTTTATAAACTTAAAATTGATATCACAATTTGCAGCATACAAATGGCTGTCTTTTAAACTCAGTCGCTTAATAACCTCAAAATGTTGTTGAAACAGAAGTGATTTTAATAAACAGCAGGTACTTTATTTTTGATCAGTTGTTGGAATCAAAAATCTATGCTATGGGTGGAGTTTGTATATTTACCTTAATACTTTGTAATTTACATTGATTGATTTATAAAATTTTGCATATTTGAAAATAAACATGCTTATTAATTTATTTATACTTCGGTTTGATTTATAAGGTACTGGAAATTTTGATGATAAGTGTATGTGTTTTATATTTTATGTAAAGAGTATTCCATTTCCTGCTAAAATTTTGAGAAATCTGTTATTTAGTAAATTTTCTTCATTTTTTCTGTACATGGTTCTGTATCTTTAAAACTAAAAAAAATGTAACTTCTCAAAAACTTAGTAACTTGTAATATTAAGTATGGCATTTATAACCAGATTATTTTGTTCTAAAACATTAATATATAAGCGATGTGTGCAGTTATTTCATTCTACGTATTTTTTATAAAAGGTATTTTAATTTCATAAGGTTAATGAGCAGTAAATGTTAAAGCAATATTTTGAATACCACATTAATAATGAGTAGTAAGTATTAAAGCAGATCTTAAGATTTTTTTTTTATTATTATTTGGACTGACATCACAAAAAAAAAAAAAAAAAAAAAAAAAAAAAAAAATTGTAAATAATTTTAAAAACTAAACAAATTTAAAATAATGCCAAAAATTTAACTTATTATACAATTTGATTCTAAAGTAATTGAGTGAAGATTGGTTTTCATTAATCCAAGAACCTTATGACATCAAGAAATCTTTTTAAAATATGCACAGTTTATTAAAAATTTATTGTTATTCTTACTTGATTTCATAGCTTGCATAATAATATCAGTTGCTAAATAATGTAAATAATATACTAACATATATTTGTGGGAAGCTTTTATGTCTTATTTATTGAACACATGTTTTTAGATTTTTGTACATATTTCTATTTTTAGAATTAAGTCATCTGCGGTTGTAATGGATTCTTTCCAGAAACTCCAGCAACAGTTGAAATGTGTACTATGCTATGCTGAAACATTGGAAAATCAAGATACAGCAAAAGTACAGTTTATTTTTTTCCCACCTGTTTTTCGCACTCAGTTTAAGACATAAATATTGGGTCATATAAAAAGTCTTCTCACTTTTTTGCCAGTAGATGGTATTGATGCCTATATATCAGGCAGCACTCGCTCTATTGTCTCAAATGAACATGTGCTTAAAAGGTGGCATTCAGCTTCCATTGTTTGTGAAGATAGTTTTCTAATTTATTGCTCATGTCAGAAGTTATATTGATTTGAAAATGAGTGAAGTATCTGACGAAATAGGGTATGGGATGCTTTTTTACTATAAAAAAGGTAAAAACGCTTCAGAAACATGCCGAAAAATTTGTGAAGGATACGGTAAGAATGCTCTGAGTGAACGAAGAACTCAGCAGTGGTTTGCTTCATTCCATTCCTGAAATTTCGATGTTGAGATTGGAAGGGCATTATCCATTATGAGCTGCTGCAACCTGGCAAAAACATTAATTGTACTGTACACAAGTCGATGGTTTGAATGGAGCAGTTCAGAAAGGGCAACCAGACTTGGCCAGCAGAAAGGGAGTTGTGTTCCATAATGAGAATGCATGGCTACACACATTTTTGATGACTCGGAACAAATTGACGGAACTTAGTTGGGAAGTTTTGATGCACCCACCGTATAGCTCAGGCTTTGCACCATCTGACTACCATTTGTTTCAGTCTCTGCAGAACTCTCTTGATGGTAAAAAATTTGTCAACCACTGAAAATCACTTGGCCAAGTTTTTCGATGATAAACCACAGAAGTTCTATACTGATGAAATTATGAAACTACCCAAAAAATGGCCGAGAGTCATAGATAAAAATGGTCAATATGTAGTTGGTTATAATTTAATTTTTAATAAAAAAAATTTGTTCAAAAATGTACCAAAAAAGCGCAGAGACTTTTTATATGACTCAATACTTTTTATGATTATGTGTGTGTCCATATTTAGTTATAAGTAGAATGTTTTTATGTGTACGTGCATACTTATATTCTTAAACCAATATAAAGATTTAACTTGCATAGTAATGTAAAAATAAAATGTATATTTTTGACTTTTCACATTTCAAATTATAATGCATGATCAGTTTACTAGAATTAAAATTTCTGGCTTTGTATAATAGTACTAGCATTATTTGCAGGATGTAAATTCTGAATTAGTATGACTGCAGTAGATTATTGATTGCAAGAATTCTGTTTTAAAGAGCTACGGTTGGCAAAATTCTTCCATGGTAGAGAGGGGGGGGAACAGCCAGAAGAAATAAATTTCTTTTGTCTTAAGTGGAAGAAATTTATTTTTATACTTATTTCAACATTATATTATTATATTTAAATTTTATTCATATCTATCACTATTATGTTACTAATAAAGTAAGCATTGTCGTGTGTTTTACTGAAAATGAAAATAAATTAGCGGAAATAAAGGTACTTGTCTTCTGCTGTGGCCTTGGTGAGAATGTTGATTTTAGCACATTTCTGCACTGGCAAGAAACAAATGGTTTCCGATTTGCATTATGTGTGAGAAACAAATGTAATTGGATTCCAAGTGACGGCAAGCAGTACCTTTGAGCTTTTTGTTTTGCCATTTCATTGATCCCTGCAGATAGAAAAAGGGATCTAGGACTTTTCGCCTTCGCCATTTCACCATGAAAATTTCACCGTCAAGACATATTTTTTCCTGCTGTATTATGCTCATATTAAATTTATTTAGTTTAATAATTCTGTTTACCTTTTGTATACTTAATAAAGGTTGCTTTTAATGTATGTAGTTATTTAAAAGTATGAGATATAAAGAAATTACGCATAGTTTGTTGGCAAATTATGTCAGTATCAACTGTGGCTAAACTTCTGATGTAACAAAAGTTATATTATCGATTTTAAAATTATGTGGGTACAATATTTACATGATTCATCGAAATTTCTTGAAATTTTAATCAGCTAGTTCATCTTATCAGAATCTTACTCTCTTAAAATTAGTATGCCATGTGTAAGGATGTATTTGTATAAAACTGTGCACAAAAACATTTTAAATATTATATAAAATGTTTATCAAATTTAATTTTTTAACTAAACAGAGTTATTAGTTTAACTCAGCTTAATAATACGGCAAGATATAATACAATCATGTAAAGAAAAATATGTCTTGACAGTGAAACATCCCGACACCGAAACAGCCACTGCGAATAATCCCATTCCCTAGGAAAAGGTATTTGTAATCCACTAAATCAAATCTCTCAACATGAAGACTTTTTGTAATTGCTGCCACTGCATTTCCAAATGGTTTCTTTTCCCACATATCATTGCATATTATGACCATTTTCACAAATTCTTCCTTTTGATAAAATACCTTTTTAGTCCAAAGGGGCTTTGTCCCTGAAGGACTGTTGTTTTTGTTTTGTGATTTTGCATTGAAAACTTTTTTGATTTTGCATTGAAAAAAGCTGTATCACTTTTCAAACCGTTGCCACCAAATGCTATCGCTCTGTATTATATTTGGTTTGGTTTGGTTTATTTAATTACAGCAAAGTACACTAGGGCTGTCTGCCTAGGGGGAGGGATGCCTTCGTGGAGGACTTTCTAAGGGAAACTGGCTTGTATACACATTACACATAAGGAAAACCACGAAAATGCCCATGCATCCAGCCCGTTTGCGGGATTTGAACTTCGGACCGAACTACCAGTGTTCAGCGACTTTACCGCTTGGCCTGGTGGTGGGCCTGTTTTATATTTGAAGAAATTAAATGATGAAGCATCTGCATAAATCTCGCATTGTGATAAAACAACAGTACCTAGAGCCATACAATTTTGAATGACATAATCCTACTGCAAATATGGACATCTGAAAGCCCAAATTTTGTTTTATTATCAATTTCATATTTTGTAAAAACTTTAATGAATTTTTGATTAACAAACTCAAGGATTTCAAAGCAAGTGATGGCAACATTGTATAGAAAAAAAATAAAAACATTTTTATCTCCAGCGTGTGAGACTGTGTATCGGAAATTCTAAAGATGTACTCAATGTAAAATTATTTTGCGATATTGCTGTTGAATTGAATTTTCTGGTTTAAGTGTGAAGAACTTGATATTTAATAAATAAAGATAATACACAAAATGTTTAAAAAATGCCCCTTTGTATGTAATTTAAAATCTGAAACCTTTCCTCTCTCTCTCTCTCTCTTTTTTTTTTTTTTTTTTTTTTTTTTTTTTTTTATTATTATTTATTATTTATTATTATTATTATTTAAAAACTAAAGCTGTCTTTTGAATTCATGGTAGATTGAAAAGATTGATAAAATATTTGCTATGAAAAACTCCTCTGATTTAAGGGCAAGAATTGTTATTATCCAAAGAATTGTGCACAAACAAAAAATCATTTATTTTAAAAGTGATACCAGAAGAAAGGAATATGTACAGGTGTTTATATTTGTATTATATTATTATAATATTCAAACATATTCATTATATTCAAACATTTATTCATTATATATATATATATAAACATATGTAATGAATAAATCTAAAAGAAAAATAATTTTCTCTGGCTTGATGTTGCTTGGCTCTCTTGAAGGGAAATTTGAAAGAATCTCAACAGCATTGCAGAGTTTGTGCTGAATTTTAATTGTAATGATAATTTTTTTACTGAGCCAACATGTATAAGGAGAAAAAAATCAGCAAAGTATCACATCAATATATGATTAGAAATGCAATCATACCATGGAATTGAGGGTGAGGGAACTATTAGATTACTTTGAATTTTATTACAGAAGTAATGAAACATTTATTTTCAAGTACTGCATTAGTAATTTTTTTATTAGTTTTTGCTGAGAATTTTTATTGTGTTATTATTTCTGCATCACGTTGTTCTCTCAAGTTAATAAAGTTGACAAATCTGTAATTCGGAAGGCATGTGACATCTGTGAAGGTCATAAGTGTATCCATGGAAATCTTATTACAGAAGGAACCTTCTTCCAGTTGAAAAGTTGAAGGAGCAAAAGCATTATGCATTAATATTAGGAGAAAATTGTAGCAAATAATTAATTAATATTTTAAACTTATTTAAATGATATTTTTTTACTATTCTAACTTTAAAGGAATGTAAAGACCAGTTTTGCAATCAGTGAAAATATTAAAATTGTAGAAAATAGGCACTTATTCGTGTTCAAATTTAAAAAATGAATAAATAAAAAACAAATGTGCAGTGGCTTAAACAAAAATTTAATGTTTTTTTTTTTTTTTTTTTTTTTTTTTTTTTTTTTTAAACTGGCCATTATGTTAGAGATGCAAATTAAACTTAATAACTTAACTTAAAACACTTTAATAGCCAGCATACCTTATCAAAAAGTAGAATTATGCCATGATAAATTTGCTTTTTATTATTTTTTAAATGTGCCATAAAATATGTTGTACTCATAATTTTAGGTTTAACTGATGTAAAATATTAAGTGTAACTTTATTGCATATTGCACTGAAGATTATTCATCCAGTTGTGAGTGAATTTATAAATAAATTAAAATCTAGAATGGGATGAAAATATATATTTATTTTTATAATTTTGCTTTGTTGACAGAATTTTATGCAACTGTTAGCAATTTTTACATCTTCCAAAAGTTAGTTATATATATTTGATTTTTTTTAATAGGGGGTCATTAAAATGAACTTACTTCCCATTTATGTGTTAATTATTTTGATTGTTCAGTTATTCTGTTAAAAATAGCATTTGTTATAGTCATGACATTTTTGTGTATTTTATTAATGTTTAAATATTTCTATTTTATAGATGATTCAAGTGCTTAGTCATGCATTCAATTTAATTTGCCAAACAGATAAGAGTTACTTTACAGAAGAAATGTGTGCCAAAATACATACTTTTGAAGGTGTGATTTTATCAACTTTGGACTGTGGAGTACCGAATGCAAACTTTGAAAATAGTGTAATAAAGCATGTAAATTCATTCAAAACTTGGTTTTCTTGGGGAGAATTTTTAGAGAAATGTTTTACTTCCAAAAGGTTTGGCATGTAAGTGTTATTCATATCTCTTATGTAAGTTTATTTTTATTCAAAATTTTGAAATTTTTTTCCTACTCATTCTTAAAATAATTCGTGTTGAAAAAAATATACATATATTTTTTCCCTTTTCATTGATAGACAAGAAGGTGAAGCTGCTGTTACTTACCTGTTAAAGTCATGTCAGTATGCAAATCAAATACAGTCTTTAAAACCAATTTCTAAGGTAAATATTTAAGATGTCTATTATTAATCATACATAATTAAAACTGCACCATGTACAAAATTTATGTTTAATGTGTATTGACTATCTTTGAGTAACTGAATTAGGTTAAATTTATTAGATTATAACAAAAAAAACAAAGGCTATCTGTCTAAAAGCAAGTATTGCATTAAGAAGGATTTCTGTTTGATTGAATTTACTGAATATACTGAGCTGAATTAATTATAACTATTTAAATCTGATAATTGAAAATGTATTATTTATATATATATAGCAACTTTTAAAAGATGTGTAAAATTGGCAGTATAAGAACAAATGACAACATTTGAAAACAATATGCATAATATGCGCTGTTGGCAACACCAGAAAGGAATGATCTGACAAAGGTCAAAATCACACGAAAGGAAGGAGAATTTGGGATATGCAAATGATTAGTATTTCAGCTCATTTAGACGATGCAGGAGAGAGAAATGACATTTGAAGCACTGCATAAAAGAAAGGTTATGTAGTGGATTTCTCATTCAGAAAGTGCTTTGTAAGGTTGGAATTTGCTCAGAATATTGTGTTATGCCTCGGACAAAAAGAAGAAATGCTTACCAGCAAGTTTCGAAATTCGATAGAGGCAGGATTGTTGGCTATCGAAAGTGTAGTTTATCGTTCCGTGATATCGTCAGTCACACTGGTCAGCATTCATCCACTGTCATGCGTATATGGAATCAGTGGATTGCTAAGGTTTATACTGAACAGCATGCAGAATCTCAACGCTCTCCCATGACTAATGCCAGAAAGGACAGACATATTATGAGGTCAGCCCTGCGAAACCGTACAACCACATCAGGACCATTTGTCAGGAAATGGGTATGTTTGCCATACACCCAGTATCAGCTCATAACGTGTGTCGATGTTTGCAGCAGTGTGAACTATCAACAGGGTGACCATTATTTTGTTTTCCTTTGACAATGCAGCATACAGAGAGACATCAACTCTGGTGTGTCTGGTACAGGAGTAGCACAATGTCACCTTTTTCAAATGAGCCCCAGTTCTACATGCAGTATACGTGTGTGGAGTGTCCAAGGAGACCGCACGTCGCCTGATCTCTAGTTCAAATCGATGGTAATTTGAACACAGATGGGTAAATTTCTGACATCTTATGTCCAGTGGTTGTGCCTTACCTTCGAGGCCCCCAAAATGCATGTTCCAACAAGATAATGCTAGACCACATGTTGCATGTTGTGTTCTGACCTTCCTCGATACACAGGATATTCGATTGCTGGCCTGGTCTGTGCATGGTCTTCAGATCTGTCAGCCATTAAAAACATCTGGTCATGAGTTCAAGAGAGACTGGCACACCAACCCTCTCTAGCTAATACGATTGATGAAGTGTAACATAGATTTGAAGCAGCATGGAATGAGTTCCCCATTTCTGTCATCGAAGCCCACTTTGACTCCACGCCTAATGGAGCTTAAGAGCCATTTTAGCTGCCATGTTGTCAGCTGTTTCTACTAATTTCGCACCCCTGTAAACCTCCAAAATGCGTACAAATTTAATCATTTAGTCTTCATGCCATACTGTTTACATGCAATAAAATATCTTTTTTGTATTTGCTTTCCTTCATGGTGTTACAATTGAATGGCCAGCAGTGTACATTCCACAATTAGTACAGTCAAAAGTCGTTAATCCGGACTCGTTGGGACTTCGTCGATTTCGGATTATTAATTTTTCCGGATAATAGATCATCAGTTTAAATCTTGTAAGATGGCATGCAGAAATTATAAAATTAAAAATATGAAACCATAATTTTGAAATAAAGAACAATTATGATCTAAAGGGTATCAAAATTTCCAAAAAAAAATAAAGCTTAATATTTATTTGTTTACTTTACCTTCTTTGCTATCAGAAGAGAATTATAATGACGAGGAATTTGATTTAAATCATATCAAAGACGGAGTACATTGAGATGAAATACTACATTTAGTAAGGAATTATAAGCCAAATAAAATAAAAACATCTGCCCTGAAGATAAGGATAGTGCTGACAGATCACCTTCCAATTCATTGCGCACCGTGGCGTCACCCTGCCGCAGAGCAGCGTGAAATTGATAAACAGTTTTCGGAATGATTAGATAAACAAAGGATATGCCTTTATCCATTTTTTGCAGCAATTCCACTTTTTGTTTAATGGTCTTCGAAACATACTTTCGCTTTGTAGATCATTTACATATTAGTAAATATATATTGGAAATTCTATTTGACATAATCGAAAGTTCAAGCTTACTTTTATAAAATTGCTCTAACAGTCTGCAAAAAATAATAAGCCAAATCCAATTCAAAGATTAAGGAACAAGGCAAACTGCAACATTAACTGAAGTAGATAATTTTAGCTTAGCTTATACCGTACATTATACATTAAACACGCATGCGTAAACGTATTTTGGGCATGCGCACACGCATATTCGCAGCCATAAAGGTCTTACGCGCATGCGTCAATGCGACGCATGCACAGAAAGTTTGTAGCTTTGAGGTCCGAATTAACGACTAGTCAGAAGTCGTTAATCCGGACTCATCGGGACTTCGGCGATTCCGGATTATAGATCATCAGTTTAAATCTGGTAAGATGGCATGCAGAAATTATAAAATTAAAAATATGAAATCGTAATTTATGAAATAAAGAACAATTATGATCTAAAGGGTATCAAAATTTACCCAAAAAAAAGCTTAATATATATTTGTTTACTTTATTAAACATTTCTTTCAATGTAAGTTGTTTAAGTTGCTTCGTTTTATGTGATAATACTTTCTCTTTAATTCTATAAACAGACATAATTTCTTGTTCAGTTACAAAGTTCCGCTTTTCAAGTCCTGTAATTGCTGTATCGAGAATACCGACTAATTCGTCAATCGAAATTTTTTCGTTTTCAATAACCTCTGTCACTTTCTTCGCTATTGGAAGCGAATTATAATGACAAGGAATTTGATTTAAATCATATCAAAGACGGAGTACATCGAGATGAAATACTACATTCAGTAAGGAATTATAAGCCAAATAAAATAAAAACATCTGCCCTGAAGATAAGGATAGTGCTGACAGATCAACTTCCAATTCATTGCCTGCCACTGCGTTAAAGATAAACAAAGTTTAGATAAACAAACGTTAAAGTTTAAATAAACAAAGGTTATGCCTTTATCCATTTTTTGCAGCAATTCCACTTTTTGTTTAATGGTTTTTCGAAACATACTTTCGCTTTGTAGATACTTTACATATTAGTAAATATATATCGGAAATTCTATTTGACATAATCGAAAGTTCAAGCTTACTTTTATAAAATTGCTGTAACAGTCTGCAAAAAATAATAAACCGGATTCAATTCGAAGATTAAGGAACAACGCAATCTGCAACATTAATAGCTTAGCTTATACCGTCCGTTATACATTACACGCATGCGTAAACGTATTATGTGCTTGCGCACACACATATTTGGAGCCGTAAAGGTCTTGCGTGCATGCGTAAACGCCTGTGCGCATGCGTCAGCGCGACATGTGCGCAGAAAGTTTGTAGCTTTGAGGTCTGGATTATAGATCATTCCGGATTATGGGTGTCCGAATTAACGACTTTTGACTGTATATGTATTCACGTCTTACATGTACTACGTGCTGTTCATAGCATGACTTTGATAAACCAAAGTTGTAAGGCATCTTTTAGAATAACCTGTCAACCTATGTCTAAAAGTATTAAGGTCCCACCAATGGCCAAGGAATTTAGGAAAATGAATACTGATAGTTTGATCTGGTTTGGCTTTGTACTCAGGCTAATGGGCTGTCTGCATGTTTGGTTTCTCTGGTTTTTCCCATATGTAATGTAGATATGAGCCATTTTCTCTCACAAAGTCCTTTATGACTGTATCCCTTCTCTTAGGTATATAGCCCTTGTGGCTTTGCCATATTCAAATAACTTAAACAAATGCATCAAGATTTGCTGGAGAATTGCCAGAATTAAACTTTATATGACCATATCATATATGTTTTTATTGGGAGATAAATTGTGTACTTTAAACAGACGAGGAAAAAGTGGAATATTGCTAATTCTGATGAAGCCTTCTTTCTTTCTCTCCCCCTTGTTATTGTTGTTGTTTGTTTGTTTGTTTTTCTGCAGTTTGAAGAATAATACTGCTCTGTTAGAAATTACTCTAGGGAGATATTGTAATACAAAAGTATGACTGGTCATAAAAATTCTTCACTGTCATTGATATATCAAAGAATTCAACTTTATATAATAATTGACTAGGTGTGCCAAGTTGAAACATAATCCTTTTGATGTATGTCATCTTGTTGTTAATACTTTAATTATATAGTCGTTATTTTAATCTAAAAAAAAAGTTGTGATCCTTCAAAGAAGATAGTATCGTACCACATAGTTTCTATTTTTGGCATTGAATGCACTATTGCTGTCTGAGAGTACATTGCCTGAGATGTCAGAGGTAACGTAAAAAGCATATGTTACACTCAATGCATGGTGTTGTTTTGAAGTGACCAGACACTTCCAACTTAATGTGTTCGTCAGAGATGACCGATGTCATTTAGCCGTCTTATCACCGAGAATACTGCTCATGATGCACTATAGGGAGGATCAGTTATACAACCATGAAAAGAGGATGTTCTGTTCCAGTTTTGGTGGAGGACACCCCATGGGTTGGATTCAGGGGTTTTCCCTGCTTCCCCTTTGCCAGATCATTCGTGAAGACTTATGGCCTACCATATATTTTATGTGTCTCTAAGCGGCACAGACACTATATGCTTAGACATGTCAATGCCTTCAATACTCAAACCCAGGCTGAGCGATAAAACATCCAACAGCACTACCACTATACCAATCAAGGCAGCAATTAGTGTGCTTAGTAGAGCATAATAAACAGCCATGAATTATAATAGATAACACTGAATGTATTACAAATCATTACTGTTTTTTAACGCTGTCAGTGATGTTGAATGGTCATCCAAAAGCATTC